CTCACTTCAGTTTCATCCCAAGGTAAGAAGGCTTGTATATTGAGCAGGTCAGAAAGAGGGCTGAGAAAATATCCACAGACCCCTCATATCCTGGACATAAACCTGAAATTCCTGTTTCAACTCTTCCCATAGGGCACTGCATGCCAAAACAACTAGACACAGGGACAATTGCTGCCCTCATGCCATCACTCTGCTGAACACCTAATTCTCACAGTACTAATGTCTATGTATATTTCCTCATGAACATTGTATGACTATATTATTATTATTATTATTATTATTATTATTATTATTATTATTATTAACTTTATTCTTTAAACATGAAACTCATACAACTGAACATTCAAAAATGCATCACAAATACCATTGATTGGTGCTAATGGTTGATACGGGTTGCTGCCAGTGTCCTAGGTATCAACCAAGTACTTTCTTAAGATGTATGATGTTCCAAGTAGCGCAGTTTTTTGCAGTTCCGCTGGTGTTATTGCAGGAAGCTGCAATTTGCTGATGTATGCTATAAAATTCTTGGACATGGCAGCAAGTGTCCTGATGACAATGGGTATCAGTTTTACATGTTTCACCCATAGTCGTGTAGTTCAGATGGCCAGGTTGCGATATTTCATGATTTTTTCCAGTTCTTTTTCTTCGACTCTGGCATCTCCTGGTACCGCAATGTCAATAAATTGTATGTTTCGGTTTTTGACAACTGTGATATCTGGCGTGTTGTGTTCCAAGTGACGATCCGTCTGTATTTGAAAGTCCCACAAGATCTTCACCTTCTCATTTTCTATAACTTTTTCCACTTTATGTTCCCATGACCTTTTGGATACAGGTAAGTCGTATTTTTTACAAAATGACCAGTATTATTATTATTATTATTATTATTATTATTATTATTATCATCATCATCATCATCATCATCATCATCATCATCATCATCATCATCTTTACTATTCCTCTTATTGGTATTATTATTATTATTACTCTGTTACTTTGTATGTACACTAAAAGCTTCTGCACTGGAGACAAATTCCTTCCACTGTATGTCTAATTCACACTTGGCCAAATAAAGTATTTTATTTTTTTATTCTACATTTTTATCTATTATACCCTATCTGTGTAGTCACTAGGAGTTGAAAATGACTGGATAGAACACAGTCTGTCTATCTATCTCTTTCTCTCTCATACCCTTCATCTTTCTCTTAGTTTTAGAGTAAATTCTATTTTCCTTTCTTTCTTTTCATTTTTTGCTTCACCTTTTTCTCATTTGCGGTCTTCTAACAGTAGCTCTTGTTAGTACAAGAGATCTGCTTCAAGCAGTGATGATTTCATGTGTTATGGCATTATCATGCAGGTGATGTAAATGGCATAATTCATGTCGATTATTGCAATAAGATCAAGATGCTCAGGATGTCATTTGTCTTCCTGCTCCAAGAAATACTCACGACACAGTGTTAAACCACAGTCTGAATTGTTGGTTCTGGTTTATGCATTGCAAATACCATGGTGGTTTGTGAAAACTTGTTTACAGAATAGTAAAGTAAGTGAACCCAACTAATAAAAGTTTATTCAGAACTGTAAGAAACTGTGGTTTAATACAATTTGCAATATATACCTTTCGTGTAGCTGTAGCAGTTAGCAGAAGAAGATGGTCATTGTAACCTACTGCAAGATTGGGTAAAATTTGTATAACTGACATGTATTACTTTCTGAAGTGATGGATGCCTGTCAAATGTTATATGGAAAAATAATAATCTGTGCATAGTAATAATTGAAAGGGTTTATCTAAAATAATAATTTCACAAAATGTCACCAAGGCATTTTTATTCACTTTGTCCAAGTTTCCACTCTCTCTGGAGAGAGAGAGCTGGGTTATGATCTTGTCTGGCTCATATATAGTACCAGGATCATTTTTCAACGAATTAGGTTCGGAATGAAGAGCAAATGTGGAAACTTGGACAAGGAGTTTGAAAGATTGAAGGAAAAGAGGGAGGAAGGGAATCTCATATATTAAACCCAAATCTTTGGCATGTCATAACTCAAGTCTCTTGGAGGAAAGACAAATATTTGGCTTCATCTAGTGGTCTTGGCAAAGACAGGAGATTTTGAAGAGTCTGATCCTCTTAAATGACAGAATCAATAAATTAATGAAAATGGGATGTATTATGTGATGATTTGCATGGGATGTTTGATATTTTTTTTCCTGACATCAATACATTTATAGTAAAATAAAGGTCGAGAGTTTTTAGATTGCGGTAAATATTGTAATATTACAATATTTGTTGTAATATTATGGTAGAAGCTTGTGAGCCTAGGATCTTGGAACAGGAATAGAAAAAGCCTTTTGAACCCCAAAAATCTTAACAGTAGCAAATGTGGGTCTCTTCTGCCATCTAGTGGAGATAGAATGTATTTACCAATATAAGAGGATATTTGTAGGTTAAACTGAGGGGGTCCTTGGTGCTCTCTAAGGTTGGTTGTTTACTTGCCTACTTTTCCTTATCAAATTAGGTAAAAGTGCTACCCTAAAATTTATGCTAATTCTGGCACTGATGATGTTACCTAGTTTGGTAATGAAACGACTGCAAGAAAGCAACCAACCTCAGAGCACTTACCCAATTCTGTTTAAAATCTAGTCCAGCTACTCAATACTCTGAGGAGTGAGGACCAGTTGCACTTTTTGTAATATTGTTATACTTATTAACTAACATAGTTACTTTGTATTTTAATTTGATTTATTTTTCTCTCTTAAAATGGTGATAAAGGTTTATCAAATCATTACAGACGGGAATGTAGGAAACCCTTTTATCCTATTGCTGTATGGATTGATTGATAGCTTCTAACATTTATAAACTGAAAAGATAAATCTATAGAAAGGGATATCTGGAGAATGTCTCCTGATAAGAGGAACCTTGTTAGCATTAATTGGTGTCTGGTCTGTCCCTTCATGAACTCCGACCTTTGTTTCTTATTAACATCTTAACATTTACATCCCTTCTATCACCAGATTTCATTTTAATGAACGTGTGTGGTACTATGGGATGCAAATCATGTTTGACTATATGTAACTGATTTCTTATGCAAAGGGGAAGTTATTTTTGTCCTGTCCAATCATCTTTTCTCTTGCCTTTTTTTAATGTCTTAACTGTAAAAGGGAATGTAAGATGGATGAGAGGAATCCCTTTTATCAAAATATTCTAATAAATTGTAATTAAATAGTCTTTCTGTCCCTGTCTGTCTCATTGGAAAATACGCATGCTTAGACTTGAACCTACAAACTTCTCTTTGGCCTTCAGGAGTGTGAGGCTGGGTTTCTGCATCATGCTAAATTATTGTTTTATGAATCCACAATTGGCTGGGCTCTCACATCAAGCTAAGATATAATCTATTGATTAAAAATCACAATGTATGCCTTCATATAACAACACACCAAGCCTCAACAACAACAAAAAGTAGTAACATTCACTGTTTTGTTACGCTCATTTTCTACTACTACATCAGAAATAATTTCAGCTGGTCCCACAAATTGTTGTGTCTAAAACAGACAATAAGGGAGAATATAGACTATAGAAGGGATAAATTGGGCAAAAGCTATCATACTGAAATATGTATTAAATTTGAAAATGAAGATAAAAAGGTTAAGTACGCAACAAGCATACTTTTCTAGCTTGTTTCTTCTATGAACACACTGAAATCCTATCTCATTTTCTTTACCTGCATTAGGGCTGTCAAACTCACGGCCCACGGACCGGATGCGTCACTCACTGGCCACGCCCACACCTGTTTTAGCGAAGGGGGAAAAAGTCCCCGATACGTTATGTGATGCCGCTGTGACGACATGCGTTTGACATCCCTGGCCTACATCCTTGGTGTTTATACCTTTCCTAAACACCTGTAACTTCACTTGGTTGGCTCAAAGTAAAAAACATGTAATTGAGTGTTATCAGCAAACTAATGATACTTAACTCCATGCTTACAGATGACTTCATCCAGTGGCTTCATGCAGATGCTAAATCAGAATAGAGAGCCCCACGTAATTGCAAAATAAGCAAAAAGTTACTTCATTCCTTTTCTGCATTCGTTTTTTAAAACAGCTACTTGAACATACAGTAGTCCTACTGCCTTCCCAAGCTTCAGTGATCTATGGTCCTTGGCCTAATTTCGAAAGTCTTCTACAAACAATTAGTTCAGACCTCTGACAAGAAAACTCTTGACCCTGATCTGAAAGTCCAATGGGCAAGAAGGGCTGCTAGTTTTAGCCTCTTCTACAAATGACCTGGAATTGTCCTGGGCCCCTATATAGAAAAATAATTGCTCACCCTTACTTGAAATCATGGCTGTGCATCTTTTTTGTGGGGTGAGCACCACCCCAAACATTTTAGAGGAGCTGAGGGCTGCAATGGATGGAGCAATTGCACAAAATGGATGAGGCAATCACACAAAATGGGTGGATTTATGATTTCAGAGTGGGATTTGGGAGTAATGTCTTTATTTTAAACTACATAAAGCCAATATTAAGATTCATAATACAGTTCTCCTGTATTTCCTGCCACAAATTGTAGAAAAACACAACAGGAATGCATTGTATCAACAAAATAATGTATTGTGGGGAAAATGATAAAAGATCCATCACATACATCCAGAAACAAGAAATAGAGGCCATACTTCTTTGTACACTGAAACATGTGGGGCTTGGATTGCCCTGGTGTGAACATCATCTTGCCTGTTTGATCTCCTTGTAGACACCTCTGCATTGGGCTATGTTATTGCTTCATTTACCACATTTCATTGAATGAGAAAAACCTGGAAAGGCTCACACATGCTAAGCAGTAAATCAAAACTGCAGTACAAACCCAGCTTAGCTTGTTGGAATTGCAAAACTCATTAAACCAAGATAAAATATATTGCAAGATGCCTGTATTTTTCTAAACCCGAAATATCATATCTTGTGAAGATTTTTTTAGCATAAATAAAAAACAAAAGTCTGTCCCATCATGTAATTTAGATGTTGCAATCATATGATAGATTTTATTACATAATTAACAAAATGCAATTATTACAGAATATAAGAATATTTCTTTACAGAAAATAGATCTCTATACAATTTCGAGAATGCCCTATGAGTTTTCATCTTGTGAAATACAACAGTTTGGAATGTACATATTATTTAACCAATTAAATTTATAAAATGAGGCAGATATATAGAGAGTTACATTATTTTAAATCTACAGGGTATTACGGAATGGTATAGGACCAAAGATTGCTGAAAGCTCCAGAATCTTTTTAAATAAGTAAACCATTCAAGTATTTAACTACTCTCTTCAAAGAGTTAATTTTAAGACAAAATAATCATTCATACTTAACACTAAGAATTGGTGTTAAGGTACACGGGTAGAAATCTTAACAAGGCAGCTTTTTCCCCTTACGGTTACAAAAATTTAGTTAGCTAGTATTGGTACAGGTTTTGGTAAAGGATACAGGTGAACACTGGCATTTAATCTACATTTTCAGAAATACCGTTAACAAATATACCCAAATGGGTAGATTAAAATGCAAACAAATACTGATACAAGGGAAGACCACCGAGACACACATTTATGTTCACAATGATTTTAATGAATATTTCACTTAGTACTTCACTTTTTTATTATCTTCTACATATACTCAAAGAATGGTAACTTTTTCTGGTTTCCTATCTACTTAAGTCTGTAGGGAGAGTGAAAAAAACACACATATAAATATTGATTAAAGTATAGGTTTTGCCTTATAAGGCAAATGGCTGACGACTGCCAAATAATCTGCTGACAAGGGCAAAGCATTATATTGCTCAATGTGGGTTTGTTATCCATATCACAGCAGACAACAGTTTCCATTACATTCCATTATTTTTACTTCCCAATATGTAACACATACAAGTATAGCCATTCCAATGGCGACATGTACCAGCCTACTATTAACTTCGCAGCTCAAAGGCAGAACACACCTACTAATTTATAATAAGAATCACATTGAACTGGGCACATGAAAACTGAAGATAGTTCTTATTCCATTGACTTGGCAAATTCAGCATAGTCAATATATCCATCATTATTCTTATCATCATCGCGCAAAACACCATCTATCAAGTTAATTAGTTCATCTTCTTTTATTGTCTGAACGTGTTCGCCATCACCCTAGAAAGGAAAAACAACAGATGAGTTCTACCAAGGAGTTGGCTTGGAGCCTCTCTTTAGTACTTGCTTCTTGATAATTATATTGCTAGAGAGTGAAAGGTTTGAATGGGTCTGGCAAATCAAAACTCAGAAGGTACAGTTCTCTACGGGTAATCCTCAATGTATAACCATTCATTTAGTGACTATTTGAAGTTACAATGGTATTGAAACAAGTGACCTTTGACCAGTTTTCACATGACTGGTGCAGCATCCCCATGGACACATGATCAAAATTCAGACACTTGGCAAATGTGATCAAAGTTACACTATCCTGGGGTCATGTGATCACCATTTATAACTTTCCCAGCTGGTTTCTGAAATCAATGGGGAAAAACAGATTCGCTTAAGGACCACACAATTCACTTAACAACTGCAGCAAGTCGCTTAACAACTGTGGCAAAAAAGATCACAAAGCGGGGCAAATCTCACTTAACAACTGCCTTGCTTAGCAACAGAAATTTTGGTCACATTTGTGGTCGTAAGGTGAGGACTACCTGTATTTAATTTTAATTTTCTCAGAATAATGCTATGGTTTTTTTTTTTGCTCATAAAGCTTCTTAAAGCTTTTTAAATAGTTTCTTAAAGCTATTTCAAAGTTTTCCAATTTATAAAACTCTTAGTTCTGCTAGAGAAAAGTCTTCCCTAAACACAATGCCAAAAATATATTAATATATACTTAAGCAGTATTTAATAACATGTCACTATCTATCTATCTATCTATCTATCTATCTATCTATCTATCTATCTACAGTATCTATCTATCTATCTATCTATCTATCTATCTATCTATCTATCTATCTATCTATCTATCTATCATCTATCTATCTACTTACCTACCTACCTACCTACCTTCCTATCTATATGAAATACACAAATAGTACATTTTTCCAAGGACTGCTGAGAGGCCCATCAAATTCCCTGTTCAGACAAACTAATACGTACCTGTCTGTGTACATGTGATATTGCAGTGGCAAGTTCAAGACCATCAAGCAAGTTGTTACCATCGTAATCATGCATTTTGAAATAATGAAGCTGCAATTCTTGTGGTGACATCTCAGCTTCTGGTTTGTCAACGACACCATCTAAATGTTCCATGATGTGGCTATAAGATAAATACACAGCAGCTGTCAAAACTTCCATACAGATACACACAACAAGATAATTCAACATATTGTGCTTGTCCAGTTTCAACGTTATTTAATAAGACACAATTGCCTCAATTATGCAACACAGTGAGTCATACCTCATTGTGCATAAAGTGCAGTATTTATTCTAAGAACATAAGAACTGTCCTACTAGATTGGGGCAACACCCATCTTAATCCACTCTCAGGAGTGTTCACAAGCAGAAAATATTGAGATTTTTCCCTCCCATTATTCCTTTGCAACTCAAGGCATACTTGGGGATAATGTTGGTCTTGAAGAATAGATTTTGACAGAAATGTATTCTATGAATATATATGCAATCCCTTTTTCAAGCTAATTAAGTTAATGGCTATCAACGTGTGGTGTAATGAATTCAATTAGTTAATTATGTAGTATGTGAAGGATTTCCCTTTGTTTTAAACTTTTCTATCAGCTTCACTGAGTAATCCCTTCACTAGAAAACACTCCCCCTCCATTTTCTCTCCCATTCATTATTTTATACACCTTAATTCCCTCAATAGTCTTTTTTTCCCTAAGGAGTCCTCAAAAATCTAGAAAAAAATTCCTCAGGGCTTTCTGCTTCTCTTTCTCTAGAGTTATTGTGCCCTTTCTCAAATGCAAAGACCAAAATTGTACACAGTATTCCATATCATAGATATGGGTAAGATAATTACAATGCTGACATTTTTATTTCCAGTCTTTTTCCTAGCCTGGTATTTCCCTTTTTCATACCTGTTGCACTCCAAAGTGACAACTTCATTAATGTTTTAGCATTCTAAAGAAGTAGACTTCAGGTCCCAAAATTCCCAGCATTAACCATACTAGAACTCTGGGAGTTGGTCTGCACATCTGGTGAGCATTCAGGCTGAAGAGGATAAGCTGACGCTAGATGAGGACTGCATTGAGTTTTATTCCAGATCCAGCTCTTAAAATCAAAGTACGTACTCCTTGAAGCAATAATTGGACCAGACAACTCCAAAGTGATAAAAGAATAGCCTAAGTTAAATGTACATACATCTGCTGACTCTTTAAGAATAATTTTCATGATTCTAACTGTACAGATACTGCACTTGCTGTTAGCCAAAAGGCCTTTAGTTTTCTGCCTAAATTAAAGTACAATTTAACCAGATTTCAAAATGAATGAAAAAAAATTAAGTGCCCCTTTCCATTCGTTTTGAAATCTGGTTAAATTGTTCTTTAATTTAGGGAGAAAACTAAAGGCCTAAACTAAATTGTTCTGTTAATGACCAGGCCTTGAGTTCTGCAATTCTGTCATCAAAGAAGCTCTCATTAAAAAAGCTGTCCACTTAAATTCCAGTTGTTAACTTTTCAAGTATATTAGTTGTAACCTTAAAGATTTCCACATTAATTCATAGATTATATATTGCCTGTACTTGCTCTGCAGTTCACAACTCTATCTATAATGGAAGAATAAAGAGATAAAACTGAATTATATAAAATGCCAATTTATGGAACACGTACTCTTTGTCTTGTACCATGTTCTTATCAAGACGCACGTTAGGGTGATGGTTTCCATCCATGTGATCCTCTGCTAAAGAGATAATGGAGGTAGCAAGGATAATACAGCAGAGAAAATCTATGCTATGAATCCTTGGATGTACCATAACAGCCATATTCTAGAAAAAAAATTATAATACAATTTATAATGTAATACTTTAAACATAAAATTAAGTCTGCTGCATATCTTCAAACACTGCTTTTATGATGGTCTAAATCTCTCAAGCATAAACTCCACTGCTTCTACAAGAAAGGAACACTATACATCCTTACCATAAGCACCAAAAATGCACCTCAAAACTTTATATTTCATTTTTCCTTTTTTATATGTGAATAAGAATAATAGGTTGAAATACTAGGTATTTCAAGTTATTGTCATTCTTATTCACATATATTACAATTTAATGTGGCCAGAAATTTTTAAAATAGGTACAATAATGCCTTTAAACAAATAAACTAAAGATAGATGAATAGCTACAACAAATTACTCCGCCACATATGACTTTTTAACATTACGTGTACATTTGGCTGATGCAATTATTTCATAACTCTTAAGATGAAACCAAGTACAACTATTTTTTTTTCTACTCAACCCCACCTATTGAATATGCACCAGCCATCTCTACCTATCAAACAATATCGCTATGTACTGAACTTTGAGTTGTACTTTTGGAAGTCATGTCAATAAACCTTTAAGTTTGGAATCACAACAATTTTCTAAAACAGCTAATTCATTGACTTTATCTTGCAACTATATGAGACAAATTTTGCAATCAGTTTCCTTATATGTAAGAGTTTAACTGAACATAACACCATACTGTAGTTGTAAACCTTATTCCCTGAGCCTCTCAAACAACTGTTAACTAAATGTTACCAATCTTGCAAACAATTAGACCTTTACCATAATATTATGAAAAAGTATCCAGTTTTACTAGACATAACACAATGTTGCATTTGTAAAGCTTTTTCCTAGAGCCTCTGCAAAAGCTGAATGGCAAATACGATATCAATCTTGGAAGCAGACAGAACTATGTATTATGAAAAAGTATCCATATTGACTTCAAGAATGTTTGAACTTACATTCCTCCAAATAAATGTTAGAATTCAGATACCATTTGATACAATAACATAACAAAATAATAAATGATAATACCACTACCAATATTAAGAGGCACTAAATGGAAAGCTGTTTTTTAACCAACTGGGCGAACTCTTAAGCAGTTATTATTGTTTATTATTATCATTCTCCTATTCTGTCATTCTAGGAATTCAAGACAAGAAAAGGAACTTCATCTTAAGCAAGGGACCTGCCTCATTTTAAAACTTCGCAGTATCAAGCATTTATGTCTCAGCTTTCTAAGGCAAATCGTCATCTCAATGCACCTTGCAAATTTCCCGAGATAATGTAACATCACATAAAATCAAGCAGCTGGACGTATTCGAATGAGCAGACTGTAAAAAACAAAACAAAACAGCAACGTATTCCGGGAGTGCTTGAAAAATGTTGTTTATAACTTTTTGCCCAACATTAGAAAGAATATTCTGTCCCCTTTTCCAACTGAAAATAAATAAACCCTCCTTCAAATGCTATTTAACTGCGGCTGCAACTTGCAGCCACGAAGTTGTGTGTATACCTGTTCCAAAATTAACCTCAGGCAACTGTAAGGAGGACTGCAGGATTAGCCCTTCGAAGGATCTCCCCACTACCAGAAGATGATTAACGGCTCCAACTGCTTGACTTGCAAGCAACGGTGAGATTAGGACCGGACGGGAAAGTAGGCGGCATACAGACCCCCGCCGGCACAAGGCAACCACCGTCTTCTGGCCCCCGTGAGATCCCGGCTACGACGCTCGTCCCGAAACACCTGCGCCCCCGCACCTCTTCCCAGCAATTCTGCCCTTAAGATGACACTATCCGGCCGGGAAGAGCAGCAACACTCACAGAACTGAGCCTTCTCGGCCACCATTCCCCACCACTCATGCCACCTCTGACCTTCAATACGTCAATAATTCCACGCCTCCTTCTCGGCGATTGGCTACTTTCTTTGATATTTTACGTGTGGTGAGAAAAAAAACCACACACCACTCCCCCCCCCCCCCCGAAGGGGTGTGCGCGTAAGGAATCAGGTATGTCCGCAGAGACCACGCCCCCTCTCGTTTTATGACGTGGCTTTATTCCTCTCAGTCTAGACGAGAGGGAGCTTTCGGAGGGAGAGCCTCTGGTCCCCGCCCGCGTGCGCTGATACGCCGGGCAGTTTTTTTTTGGTAGTCGTCATAGGGAAGAATTTCCTAGCCAATTGCTAGGGCTGCGCTAATGACGCCTCCTTCAGCGAACTGTTCTTGGGTTTCCGCGCTGTTGCTCTTCTTGTGAATTAAGATTGCTTCGATTTCTCGCAGTGGGAAATCTTTTTGCTCAGCCTGGTTCTTTACTGAGAGGCAACGGCACTGAAGCTCCAGATGGGAAACGCTGAATTAATAGTATAGTATTTATGAGCTGGGTGCAAGATCTGGTTTGTTGTGAAATTTACCCCAGGTAGACAAAAGAGCGATGATACGAGGACCGCAGCAACAGTGCAGGGAAAAAAACCAAACAAAACCCGAAAGCAAATAATTCGTTTTCCCGGCTTTTTTGCTGCGCTCTGATGGTGGTTCTGATTTTTTTTGCAGCCCTCCTCTGGTATCCCTGCTCATTTTCAAAATATTAACTGCATTCATTTTAGGGCCCTAACATACAAAGATGGAAAACAAGTAGATGGAAAACAAGTAGAAAAAAAGGAACACAAATATTAACAGATGAAAAGAAGAAAGAAGCATATTGTTATACCAGTTCAGTTTTTATACAAAACTTGACCCTATGGAATATTAATCTTTCCATTTGATCAATACGGTGACGTTTTGATTACAAATATGGAATGATAGTCTTTCCATTGTAGCAAACACATCGTTTTTGCTATGCCCGTGCTTGATTAATCCATAGTTCTTAAATCAATACATTACAATAGTTTATACAGAGTTCCAAAAAAACATTCATATTTTAATGAATTCGTATTTGAGCCTATTCTGTGACAATAAGAATGGCAAAGGCTTTTTTTCCCTGATTACTGAATCTGTGAATCCCTGTCCTATATTTTTGTTCAAAATACATCCTTTATATGCAAGGACAAGTGGGGCAAGAGACTATTGGCTACCAGATTGTTTTATGGCTTTCCTCAAGGATAAAGTTCCTTCTGTCTGCTTTGGTTTGGAAAACAGTTGGCCAAAATCAAGCGAGGTGAGCTAGGAGATACTTTGCATGACTCCTTGCTTTGTTTGCATTTGTAGAATCTGAGGAAATGCAGAGTCCGTGAACTTGTCATTTGTGGGTTGAACCCATGCTCCTCCTGGCGTCTGTGACAAGGATACTAATAGGGCATAAATCAGGGGTGTCAAACTGAAGGGGTGCTTAGATCTGGCCTGTGGGGCTGTCCTGGAAACAGTGAAAGACTGGCCTGCGGTGCTTCTGCCAGTGAAAATGGAGCTTGGGAGGACTGCGAGTGGCCATCCCAGGCTCTGTTTTCAGATGGGACAGCGCCCTGCAGCCCTGTGCCAGCAAAAATGGAGCAGAGGGTTGCAGGAGGCCAGCCCGGCCACGGCCACTCCAGCCCGGCCACGGCCACCTGGCGCCCCAAGGCTGATGCGGCCCTCAATGAAATTGAGTTTGACACTCTTGGCATAAATGAATCTTTGATGAGAAAGAGCCTATATCAGCCATCTTGAAAGAGGTACTAGTGCAACCTCTCTGTGAAGAAGTCTTCTCTGAACCGGTTGCATTTGTCAAATTTGCTTTGTCTTCAGCCTTCCCCTTTTGATCTGCAAAGGTGCCAGTATTTCAACCAGAGGATTCTAGAGAAGATGCATTATTTAGTGTTTCTATGTGATTATGGCACAGTAGATGGAGGAAATGGACCCCCTGAGTCTTACTTGACATCTTAATTACCATTAATCATGGTATACTTTTGGAATTGCCTGCATGGTTTGGAAGTGAGAGGTATCATTTCATGATGATTCTGCTCTTCTGAGCCCATAGTTCCAGCGATAGGGGATGAGCCATCAAGCCTCAGCTGCTGCAGCTGAGGGATGCCATAGGGGGTAGACCTCTCCCACATTATTTAATATCTATATGAAGCTACAATATATGAAGTCACATATTGGTCAGTGGTGACATATCAGCTAGGAGCTATAGTATCTTGAAATTGCAGCTGGAAGTTGTGAGGGTCTGGATGGGGAGGAACAAGCACAAACTAGCAAGACAGAGCTGCTGGATGTCCATAAACATCAACGGGAGGGGCTGATTCAATGGGAAGATGTTTTGTTGCCAGAACGCTGTAGATTAGACATTGATTTGTCTAAACTTTGCAATTAAGATCAAGAAAACTATTATTATACTTAAATCCTATGCAGACAATTTCAACTGTTATGTGTTCAGAACAAAAAAAGAAAATGATCTATTCAAACTGTATCTTTCCCCTAGGGGACATCCAGACAATGTTTTCTCCTTCAAATCAAATAAAACCTTTATTATCAATGCACAACATGTGTAAAATGAGATTGAATGAGCCTCCATCAGTGCAGCACCCGCCCGATATGTATATATGTATATAATGTTATATACATATATGCATTCCCATATGCATAATGTATATAACATTATTATATTACACTGGTATGAACATGTTGCTCTGTTTGTGAGGCAGTACAAAAGTATACCATACTTTTCACCCATAATATTCAGGGGTGAAATCCAGCAGGTTCTGACCGGTTCTGGAGAACCGGTAGTGGAAATGGTGAGTAGTTTGGAGAACTGGCAAATACCACCTCTGGCTGGCCTCAGAGTGGGGTGGGAATGGAGATTTTGCACTATCCTTCCCCCAGGAGTGGGGAGGGAATGGGGATTTTGCAATATCCTTCCCCTGCCACACCCACCAAGCTACACCACACCATACCACGCCCACCAAGCCATGCCCACAGAACCAGTAATAAAAAAATTTGGATTTCACCACTGCTAATATTCTTTTATCTGCACAAGCTTGGTAATGTAGCTAATAAGCAGTAGCATCCTAAATATTTATTGTGGGTCAATTTAAGATGCTGTAATTGATACATTTTCTTGCTGTCAGGACCAAATGGTCCTCCACCGCAGACTGGAGCAAGAATGGGAGGAGGCAGGTGGGTAGGGCAGGGAGTTCAATCATTTGGTTTCTGGTTACAGCCTCTGGAGATCATGGAACTACTTTAGCAATAATAGTTACACCACAATCTTTTAAGCAGTAGATTGGCACCTCATTCAAGTGACCTGTTAGACCTGTATGTACATCAATAAATGAGTAAACAAACAGGTTGCATAGAATCATTAGAAAGTGGCTGCTTTCCTAGCCATTCAGATCTCAGTTCAATATGGCACAGCTAATTTTCAGCACACAAGAGGGAAGACAGACCACACATGTGCTATCAGTGTGCATAGGGCTTAGGAGGCAAACAGTTCTTGCCAGTGGATTGCTGTGCACATGTGGCCCATAAATGGGGACTTCTATTGACCACTGATGCTTTGTAGATCATACTTTTAGAATTACTGCTCTAGGTAATGAACAGGTTTATTTAAAATGGCAGGACATTATAGGATGATTGTATGTAATAATAAAGAAGCAGCTGATTTATGACTAACAGTGCTTAACTGACGGTTGAATTGTCAAATAAAAGGCTAAGTAGAGTAAAATCTGGTTAGTATTTATTTATTTATCTTGTGCCTTTGAGTCAATGTTGACTCATGGCAAAACCCTAGACAAGTCTATTTAGTTTTCTTGGCAATATTTCAGAAATGGCCTGCTATTGCCTCCTTCCTAGGGGTGAGAGAGAGAGTGACTGGCCCAAAGTCACCTAGTTGACTTTGTGCTTAAGGTGGGACTAGAACTCATAATCTCCCAGTTCTGGCCTGGTTCTTCACCCACCGCAATACACCAAATTGACTCTCAATTAGTACTTGGTCACAAGGAAATCCCAGATCTATAGGCTCATTTGGAAAATTAAAAAGATATTCCAAAGGAAAGAAACTTCCACATTGTTTCCAGGCAAATTTCATTCATGGTCAACAGGAGTCAAAAGATTCATTCTAGCCCCTTCCCAATGAAATGTAATCAACAGTTATTCTTTGCCCATGCCTTAAAAGTGTCAAATGATTATTTCCTTTAATGCTTCAGAAGAGGGAAAAAAGTTACATTTCATTTTGATTGATGCTAGAATCTCAGAAATTATCAACAGCACAATAATAATAATAAATAACTTTATTGTCATTGTACACATCGGCCAGACAATGTCGGCTGGTGGCGCCCAGGATGAGGGCGTTCTCTGTGGGCGCACTGACCCTCTGGAATGGGTTACCTACGGGGGTCCGGACGGCCCCTGACCTCCACTCTTTCCGCCGTGACCTGAAGACATGGCTTTTCCAACAAATTTGCTGATCTGATGGGTGATTTTAATTGGGAGATTTTAATTGATTGTTTTTGTAGCTATTTTTATTGTTTTCGTTGTTTTAATTTCTGTGAGCCGCCCCGAGTCTTTTGGGAGAAGGGCGGCATATAAGTATAAGTATAAGAAATAAATACACATACACATGTAAACTGATAATTTGTATTATTTAAAAACTAAATTAAAGCCAATTTTACATGTAAAAATGTTCTTAAAAATGGGTTATATACGACTGAATGTAGAAGATAGCTATTAAATCAAATGGAATATGCCTTCCCGATGGAATGTTTCATATTTCACAACTCCTTTAAACAAATGAAGCCCCATTTCTTCTTCAAAAGAAACAACTATAAGCTTATATTTGTGAATTTTAATTTCCCATAAATGTAAATCCTGACACACATACCTATTGGCTAAAGGATATGACATGCTAAACCTAAGTTAATAAACACTAGTGCAGGGGTCTCCGACCTTGGCAACTTTAAGACCTGTGGACTTCAACTCCCAGAATTTTGGGAGTTGAAGCCCACATGTCTTAAAGTTGCTAAGGTCGGAGACCCCTGCACTAGTGTCTGTGTGGTCTAGTGGTTAAGGCACCAGGCTGGAAACCAAGAAAGTGTGAGTTCTACTTCCACCTTAGGCATGAAAGTCAGCTGGGATTGTCACTCTCTCTCAGGCCAACCTACCTCACAGGGTTGTTGTGGAGAAAATGAGAGGAGGAAACTGAATTAGGTATGTTTGCTGCCATGAATTATTCATAAAAAATAATAGTGGAATTAAAGAAATATTTTTAAAAAAAACATTATTGTGTCATTTTGAAGCTCAGAGTCCCCAAGGTTGATAAGAGATCTCTGACTGATCAAGCACAGCTAACATAAAAAAAGGAAATTGGAGGTGTAGAAAAAATTTTTTTTTTGGAAGAATAAGACCCAAGGACCCAGAGCACATAGCAAAGGAAGCCCTTCTGGTAACATACCCTGGCAACTGTACTTCTTCCCTCTAACCCTTAACTTCCAGACCATGCCTTGTACTCAAAGTGCCTAGTACTTATCTGGAAAGCGAATAGAGGAAAAATAACGACTTCCTTTAACTACTGATCCTGATTTGTAGTAGAGGCCTACAAATACAGCAGTAAACAGACCGTGTGCGCTTCCGACGGAAGGTCGTTGAAGTCACTTCTTCTACTGCAGCACCACTTTCCCGCTTTTGTTCCTTCAGCCCAGCGCGTTTTCCAAACGTTACCAAATATTTTCCGTCGGAATGCCGGAGCCAAACTGGTGAATGGTCGTAACTAATCTGAAAGGGGTGGGTTTTTTTTTTTTTTGGCACCAAGAGGTTGAAGAAACCCGGGCTTCCCTTTCCCAGCGTGTACAAGAGAAATTGAAAGCTCGCTCATGCTAGCTAGGGGAGGGGAAGAGAAGGGAAGGGAGGGGAGGGGAACCCGGCGCTTCCCGAGGCGCGCTGCTGTTTGCTTGCCTGCTGCCTGCCCGGGACTTCCCTGTTGTACATGAGGCACCCACCCACGCAAAGATGGCTGCGAAAGGCTCGCATTTTCACCTGAAAATGGAAGAGGCGATCGAGAGGTGCAGGACGGATTGCCAGTGGGAGATGCAGCTCACCATGGTGGCGCAGATGAGGGCGCGGACGTCCAGCCCTCGGCACAAGGGGGCAAAAGGAGCCGGAGCCGCACCGCAAAAATCTGGTAAGGCAGTCAAGCCGGCCGCTTGAACTGTTGGGATTCCCCAGTGACCGCCTGCTCTTCCGTAAAACGCCAAAAAAAAAAAAAAAAACCTATGGAAGCGGGCGGCCGCCTGTCCTTGTAAGGGTCAGCCCGCTCGCCCCTTCCTGCCCAGCCCTGTTGTCGTCCCCAGTTCCCTTGACCCAGGGTCTCCTTGCTCCGCTGAAAAGTGCTGGGTTCGCACAATGTCACGAACCATAAACTCATCCCCCGAGCTGGCTCTGCGCGCCTTCCGACAGATTCCCACGCGGTCAGCTACTGGTGGGCTGCCAGATGATCCGTCGAACCCAGCCTCTCTTTTTTTTCGTCAACCCCTGGGGCTGGGGTTGCCTCAGCCGCATCCTTAACAGGCTGGCTCTAATGGGGTGTGTGTGTGTGTGTGTGTGTGGTTGATTTGTCTCTCTTAGCGTCTCTTTTTTGGGGGGTGGTGTGGTGTGTAGAAGTATTTAGATTCAGTTTATTTGGGGGGGAGGGGAAGAGGGAGCTGATTGGCATGTGAGTCCTTCACCCCATCCTCTACCCGGCAACTTTTGAAACCATGCCTGCGGCTTAGCGATGGCTTGTTAGTAGAAACTCTGAAATAGTGTGGACCAAGGCTTGGCAATGCACCTTCCACCGCACCCCGTACCGGTTTTACTCTAATTTGCCTCCCTCGGCTTCCTCTCCCTCTTTCTCAGCTTTGCCCGGTGCCCTTAAAGGAGGCTGCTCTACCACACTCCAATGCTCCTTGTTGAGAATCAGTTCTAGGGTGACCTTGTCTTCAAGAGAAATATGCGCTCCCCGGTGATGTTTAATTGAACCCAGTGAATTTTACACTCCTTGGGAATAAATCTCATTGATCTCACAAGCGCTTCCTTCTGAATTAATATGTAGAAGATGACTGTAGTTTTAAGGACGGAAGTAGCAGTCTTATTCTGACACACAGACACACACACTCACGCGCATACATCTAGGAGCCCAGTGGTGGAGCGGTAATGCTCCCTCCTCCTTTCTCCTGACCCGCTGCCCGCAGAGGTGTCCTTATTGAGCAGCTGGCCTGATTCTGTGAGGTCGGACCATCCGCGCTCCTTTGGAAGGATAAAGCAGCCTCTCAGAATGAGCATCAGGAAAAGGCAAAAAGAAAGACCTCTGAGAACAGGCTGCTCTTTATGTCTGTGCCAGCCACCATGACTGGCTTTGGAAGCACTGAATCCCTTGGAGTTGGGTGGCTGTGAAAAATGTTGAATAAATAAATAAATAAAATAATTAAGGCAACTAGGACGTCTTAGGCTAGAATAAGTGTGGAGGGGGCAAAATGCAAGAAGGGTTTCTCTGCTTCTAAAAAAGGTTGGTGGAGGGCCTTCTCTGTGGCTGCCCCAGCTCTCTGGAACCAGTTCCCTCCTGAGGTCTGGACCATCCCCACCCTATTGGCCTTTCGAAAAGCGGTGAAGACCTGGCTTTTCCGGCAGGCCTGGGACCATTGATCTCGCTGTTGCAATCTTGTGAGACCCGGCCATGAATGGTGTGAATGGGTTTTAATGTTTTAATTTTTAAATGTTTTTATAATGTTTTTTTTAATGCATTGTAAGCCGCCCTGAGTCACCTGAGAAAGGCAGCATATAAATTGAATTAATAAATAATAAATAAATAAAATCTTGGGACTTGTGGCTCACTATTTCAGGCACGTATTGGCTTGGAGAACTTTAACAGCGTTCTTGGGGGGGAGGGATGGAGCAAGATGTAGATAGAGGCTAAGTAAAATACAGTTTCAATTTTAAAGAGAAACCTTTCAGTAGAAAATAAAACTGTCTGTGAAACATAGAAGGAGGAATGAACCCACCAGCAGCTTGGATGTCCCTCCCCCCACTTTGAAACCTTTTCCTCAAACCACAACCATTTTGTGTCTGTAGAGGGGCTGTGTCACTAATTTCAAGTTAATTTGTGGACTCCACCCAAAAGCATAAATGCATGCTTGTTGCACTATCAGCATGTATATTTTCCTCAATCAGTTTTGCATATGCAATTGTTCCAGGGAAAAGAAAGTGTGGCAGTGAGTGGGTAGGGGTGATGAGAGACAAAATAAGTGGAGAGAAAAGAAAAGCAACATCAATTTTTTTTTTTTAAAAAAAGGAGGAGAATATGAGAAAGCTTTGCTGTTTTTTGGGGAATATATTCTAGTTTAGAGAGTCAAAATAATACAGTAAAATGCTTCTGTAATATTAAATGGAGTTTGAGCTCATATAATCACATGGTTAAAGCTTTGTTGTCCTTTCCAGTAATAGATCATATTTTCTGCATGTTTACATTATATCCAATGCAGTCACTCTTATAAAATCTGAGGCAAAGCATAAATAAGAGCCCAAGAGTAAAATTATCCATATTTTTGTTGAGAAAAATTTGTGCTGTTTTCAGTGGGGTTCTGCTCAGATAGCTGGTTGAAACAAGGCATACTCAATATTAAATTGTTATGCAGTATTAACCATATAGTTTTTTTTTATAAAAAAGATGCGTTTAAAAAGAGCATCAATAATGCAGTGGCAATCATCCTCTTGATTTTTTGATATCCCCCCTGCACACACCTAGTAGATGCTGTTTTTGAACTCAGAACATGCTTATGATTAGTTGCTGTTTAAGGCTTGAATGTTTTATTAACATTTTATCTTTTAGTTTTATTTTCTGCCATTATAAATATCTCATTATTTTACCTGTCACAAGACCCCATGGGCAAACAGGATATGGGCAGACATACTATATGAAATTAAAGACCATTAATAGATGAATGTGCAGCCTATTGAGATAAATAGTTTAATCTTGATTTGACTGGCACATGGCAGTTATGCCTCTCAAAATGTATTTGCTTAATACTTTCTGGAGTAGATTGTGAGGTTGGAAGATGAGGATTTGGGGGAGGAGAAGCATAGAAAGTCACATTGCACAGATTTTTGATTCAGTTCTAGATGCTGGTTAAGTTAGAGTACAGTTTTATGTATGCATATTGATAAGTAAATCCACTTGAGTTCAGTTCTTATTTACTATGTAAGTATAAAGAAGCCTGCAACAAAATTTGGATTTATAACATCTTATTGATTAGGTTTCTAGAACATAGTAGCAAGACATTTATATAAATAATTGTGATTTTATTTCCAATAAAATTTTCATGACTGAATCAAATTCTGTCCATTTCTTTAAATAAGCCAGCAGAACAAATTGGTGTTTATTTCTCTAAAGAATTCGTATTTACAAATCTGAGGTAGAATACCCGACACAGGACATTCATTTATATGTCTAAATAAGAACGTTTCTATGAAATGTCTATAAATGTATAGCTGATCACTTAAGTTGGATTCCTATTGCATAAACAATTTTTGCACTCTGGGCAAATTTCCTTATGCAAGGAAATGTTTATATAATGGTTAAAATTCTATGTTTAGCTTTCTATCCTGCTATATATGGGAACATAACACAGTGTGTAATTTTTTATTCCATTGACTATGTCTTGCAGAAGACTATGAGAATCTACTAGCTGCGGAGGCACTGCTGGAGCTGTGCTTAAAGGAGAACCTTGCCAAAATCAAAGAAACCATGCCATTAATGGAAAAAACCGAGCCCAAACTGAGTGACGCCAAAAAGTCTTTGACTGACATTCTAAATCGAGGGAAATTACTGGTAGGCATTCTAGATAGAAATAAAAAAGAGCATTCCAAACACTGCTAATGATGTACAATCAAATGGTTTAGATAACGAAATGTTGGAATCTTTATTCTCACCTATCTCCCTGATACCATTCCTGATGCATTTATAAACATCTGAAATAATTGCTTTCTTTCTGCAGCAGTTTTTATTCAAAAGAATGTTGGGATTTGTTACGATTTACTAAATTAAACTTTCAGCACTATATAAATTAATAGGCAATCCTGTCCTCCAAGAACCAACCCTTCTAGAAAGGCATCATCCACATGAAGAAATGAAGGTATTAGCAGGTTTTGAAGGTTTGCAGAAGTGTAGATACAATTTAGGGACACTGATGTCAAGGGTGGCCATGGAGGACCAAATAAACAAGGGCCATGAAATATTGCTGACATGGAGGAAGGGAAATATTGGGGGATGGGGTGGTGGGGAATAGAAAAGAGTGTCATGATGGAAGACATGAGTGGCTAAGTCCAGGGTTTCCAAATTAAAGCTACTAAGACTCTTGAAAATAACTTTGAGAAGGTGCTTTGGAATGTGTGATAACATGAGCACAGCACCTCTTGTATCTTTTCTCAGGATGCTATGTGAGCCAGGGGTGGGTTCTACTTACCTTTACTACCGGTTTGCATCAAGCTCCCACGCGCTCTTCTGCGCATGCGCAGATCTCCTATGATCTGCGTCCCGCCGGTTTTACTACCGGTTCTTGCAACCGGTCCGAACCGGGAGCAACCCAGCAATGATGTGAACCTAGAAAAAGGATGTAGCTATTTTAGTAAATCAAATCAGTTGACTCATTAAAACAACTACATCTTTTTTTCTGGCTCTAACAGTGCCAACAATGTTTTATTGCAGATCCACTTATGTTTCTATAGATCTATTTTAGCAGCGCTAATGAGACAAGAGACTTTCTTTTTAAAACAACAACAATGAGACACCATGATGGGCAGAGCAGTCTAACTGTACACTTTATTGTTATGAAATCTACCAAGAGACCCTTTCTTTGGCCTGCTATTTGAACAAGTCCACATGGGGTAGTTTATTCGGGAGTCATAGCTTTAATTCAGCATGATGGGATTTTGTGTCTCTGTCAAAGTCCAGACTTCTAAAAATCTGCATTAATTCATTAATGTGAGTTTTCGTTACAAATTGGGAAAGTTACTGTTTTATACAAGTGTTATAACCAAAAACAAGGAAAGCTGGATAAAATATTTCACATTTCTCATACAGGTAGTCCTCGACTTACGACCACAAGTGAGCCCAAAATTTCTTTTGCTAAGTGAGACAGTTGCTAAGTGAATTTTACTCCATTTTATGACCTTTCTTGCCACAGTTGTTAAGTGAATCACTGCAGTTGTTAAATTAGTAACACAGCTGTGAAGTGAATCTAGCTTCTTCATTGACTTTGCTTGTCAGAAGATTGCAAAAGGGGATCACTTGACCTCGGGATACTACAGCTGTCATAAAAGTGAGTCAGTGCCAAGCATCTGCATTTTTGATTACGTTGTTATGACCTAGGCCCGAGTAGTTATTACCAGACACAATCAGCCCTAAACAAACATATTTTATTAGATTAATTTATTAGATAAATTAATTCCAAAACAAATTCTTCATAAATAGTCCTTGGATCTTATCACCAACCTTTGTCTTCTTTGGCACCCTGCCAAAGGCTTTTCTTGGCAAAACCCCACGAAGTTCAGAAGCAAGAGACGCCGACAAGAAACAAATGTAGCAACGTTGCTTTCCTACAAAGCTCTCAAGAGCCATTGCTGCTCTTTTAAGCCTTCTGGGAGGGGCCAATCATCTCCTGGCCTTACTCCCGAGTCGTCTTTTTTGCTTTAGCTGCTCTTGCCTTCTGGCAGCTCTTCGCATGCTAGGAACAGGCTCCTCCTGTTCCTCTGTACCTCTCTACTATCCGCCTCTGGAGGCTCCGGAATCCGTGCATTGCTCCCAGATGGCTCTGGCCCCATCTCTGCCTCCGATGCAGAGCCCTTGTCCGGGCTTTCCTCTGACTCCAGGACTAGCCCATTGTCCTCCCCAGCCTTCTCACTGTCTGACTCTGCTGCCAGCTCCACAGGCTGCTGGAGGACCACAACACACGTGACCGTGGGCATGCTGCAACAGTCGTAACTGAAAAATGTGCATAAGTCACTTTTTTCAGTGCTGTTGTAACTTTGAACGGTCACTAAATGAACTCTTGTAAGTCGAGGATACCAGTATGGAAATAAGTTACTAATTCAGTTGATCTAGCATAACTATGGGAAAAAAAATCTGCCAATTTTTCCATTTTATTTTCACTTGGAGTTAATTTATACTTAATTTAAATGACTAGCGAAGTGGTTATTGTTGTTATGTTAACCATGCACTGACTTTTATGCTCTGAGGCAAACTTCCAAATTCGATCTCCTACAAATGGCAACATTGAGTAGCCCTTGGTTATTTTTGGTTGGGAGAATGTGAATGTGACTGAGAAATAGCTGTACTAACCACGCGGGGATCAACCATTTAGAGGTGGTGTTCTTAAGTTTTAACGTTTTTGGTTGTCACAAACAAAGCACTTTGTGTGTTTCAAATCTCTCTATTGCTTAAAGCTATAAACTGAATAAACTGGGCCTTATTCATATAGTGTTAGGAAGATTCTAGGGCATCTGCTTAGTTAAGGTTGATGGCCTTTATAGCACTGTGATGCTCAAGCTGGTATACTTGGTAAAAACAGGGCAATGGTTACTTAGAATGTATGCAGCTAGTGCTGCAATTAAATTGGATGTAAAAAGCGGGTGATGTAGGATTATATTAGAGTAAGATTTAATTTCCCTTGTTTGAAGTGTTGTAACTTTTCAAAGGATAGCTGAAATGTGTTCACTTTTAAATACATACACAACAGTGGTGGATTGCCCCCGGTTCGCACCGGTTCTATAGAACCAGTAGTAAAACCAGCGGGAGGCCCCGCCCACTGACCCTGACATCATGAAAATGCTTCTGCACATGTGCAGAAGCTTCTGCGCTTGCGCAGAAGAGCACGCGCAGCCCCATTGCAAACCAGTAGTAAAGGTAAGTAGAATCCACCCCTGACAAATATTTTTATATAGATAAAAAAATAAAACAGGGCAAAACTTTAAGCTAAATATATATTTTCAGCAATTTTGAAACTGCAGTCAAAGTACACTAGTAAACTTCCACTTCACATAGGATAAGTGTTCTTGGAAATTTATGGAAGAAACTCAGATGGCTCCATCCATTGACACATAACAGGAAACCATGTGGATCCTCTGTTGTAATCACAGAATGTTCCTCTTCTTAAGAGCTGCCTTATTAATTTCAGTAGAAAATGAATGTCCAACCTCTATAATTTTTCAAATTAACTGAGGGATCTGCATTCTGCACTCATTATATTTCACCATGTACCTCAAAGCTCACTAAGGTTTTGTTAACAAAATGCTTGATTCCATGCGATGTTGAACAGGGAAATATTTCCAAAACAAACATTGTTTAACTACAGCTTTATTATATTACTAATGCAGATTTTAATTTTCCAGCCAAAAGTTATGACAGAAGCAATGTTGCTCCTTGCAAAGCTTCATTATATTGAAGGCTGTTACAGAGAGACTTTAAGCATGTATGCAAGAGCTGGCCTCGAAGACCTTGTAATAGAGAAGAAACCTTTATACAAGCTGCGTCTGCTAACCGAAGCTTTTGTTATTAAAGGTAATGGGGATTGTCTATGGTCACTGATTTTTGATTTCAATGTGATGATGCTGTAGAAAATCAGGTCATATAAACCTTATTTATTTTATCCTTCAAACGTTTTATTTTATTTAGTTGAAGTTGCACTGAGTTTAAATTTTAAGACGCTGATGAGCTATGGAATATAATAAACAAAATTCTAATTTATACATAATACAGTACCTATGCCTGATTAAAATATTGAATTTTTGATTAGCCCTATATATATCAATTTTTTTTTTTCAATTTGTAAAACAAGCAAACAACATTCCATATATTTCTTCGGTTTCTTTGATCTTTGGTAATAGATTGAAATTAACTCAACAAGGAACATCAGTAGCACTATGATATTTTGCTTTTTAAGAAAGTAGAAAAATAGGAGAGCATGACAGCGTTACAATACAGTACGACAGATTTGTATCTTAAAATGTCATGGTTTTCTGTTCTGAACATGGTATATCATGCTGGCTAGGGAATTCTGACAATTGAAATCCATGTACCATAAATTTGGCAAGCGGGAGAAATAGTGCTCTACTCCACTCTTTGGACTGTACATGACATGGTGTTTTTGGAAGAGTAAATGACTATTAAACAAGGTTGTGTATGTTACAGATAAGCTATGAAAAAGGCAGAAAAAATAAGTAAAGGTGGAGGAAGAGGGACAATATATATATATATTTAAAAAATCAGCTCAATTGTATGTAACAGATTTAGGTGAAGGATCTAAAAAGTCAAAGAGTGCTGCCTTTGATGACATGAACTGGGAATAAATATCCTAAACAAGATGTTTGCTTCTTCTCAAACTAAAGTGACAATATGTTTGTAAGGAAGCAGTGGTTGGTTCTTAAACTGGGGATGCTCAAGGGGATAATTTGGGCAGAACCTGGGGGTACCGAAGTAATTTCTTGTTCAGGGGTCATGGATCCAGTCTGAGGCTGATGCTTCTGCAAAACAATGAAGTCTGGTTTCTTTTGTGGGGGTAATGACAATATTTCAGACCAAGGGGAAAAAAAACTGGATCAGTTTTAAGACCCACTCTATTGGCAGATCACACCATGGGCTCTTTCTATAGCTTTTTAGTGCTTATCAAACTGACAATATTTGGTTCTCCTTTCCTTTGTAGTATACTTACGTTTCTCTTTGCTGCATTTTCAACATAATAATAATAATAATAATAATAATAATAATAATAATAATAATAATAATCTCTTCTGTATGTGTCTTTTTATTCAATGTTTGGAAGAGAGGGAAGTTATCCAAGGGTTTATGATTCAGCTGTTTTTCTGGGAAACCTGGAAAAAATACCTCTGCTTGCATTCTTCATCTTCTGTTTCCTTTCAGTGCTGTTTATGACTGCTGCTGAAGTAGTTGCTCTCTGCCTATCCTCTTCTAACCTTTTCAGCATACCAATCCACTTATTAGGTGAATAGAGGGCTGGAATGATCAGATACCTTCAACTGGTATGTAAAAATCAAAGTTAAAACACCATGTTACTATTGCAATGAACCTTTTGAACATCAGGCATCACACTGATCTGTACTTCCTGTTCCCCCAAGGGGCCACAGTTTAGAACAGGAGTCTCCAACCTTGGCAACTTTAAGACTTGTGGACTTCAATTCCCAAAATTCCTCAGCCAGCAAAGCTTAAAGTTGCCAAGGTTGGAGACCCCTGGTTTAGAGTGTCTCTGCTATTCTGTTGGCTTTGGGGAATGCATCATTGGTACCTATTTGTGAATGGCTGTAGCTATTGGATTAGAAAGGCTTAAGCATTTAGAAATGATATCCTCCAGTTAATGATAAGAAATCATTAGAAACGTTGACATGTCTGATTTACTTACAGAGTGTATATTTTATTATGATTTTATTTGCTACCATGAAAAGTTCCTAATTCACAAGAATTTCTTTTTGCTAGCCTACCTGCCCACTTTTGCTTTTGTGGACATCAGATAGTCTATGAAGTATCCTAGTTCGCTTAATTATTTAATTTAAATAGGCCTTTCCTGGTTACCGCTGTGGCGCAGTGGTTAGAGTGCAGTACTGCAGGCTACTTCTACTAACTGCTGGCTGCCTGCAGTTTGGCAGTTCGAATCTTACCAGACTCAAGGTTGACTCAGACTTCCGGTTTAGCTTTGCTAGAAAGCAGGAAATCCTGCTTTCTAGCAAAGCTAAATTGCGCGGCACAGCTGATCCCCCCCTGCTGTTCTACTTACCCAAGCCTCCTTTTGGTGCATACTGTGCATGTGCGTGCAGTGCACGCACAGTGCATGCTTGGTGCACAGTGCACATCCGCGGCTAGCGGACCGATAGCGAACCAGTTCCGCTTTCACCACTGGGCATAGGTGGTATAATATTCCCCACCACCACCATTTAAGAGAGGGCTATTCAATTGTAATATGGATGGCCTCTTTGATCTCGCTCTCAAACCAGTGGTCCCCTCCCCATCCAAGATATGAACTTTGCTGTTCTTCAAAGATTGACCTTGTCTTTCAGATGCAACGGTCACTCTTTTGAAGACACCCAAGAGCAATGGAAGCCCTAGTCTTGAATATGAATGTGCAAAGTCAAGGCCATGCTTTCATATTTGTTTGCCTCTGCAGAAGGCATAGCTGGGGTGGTTATGATGTCACTGGACTGGAGGTGGCTAAATATTTCAATCTCTTTTTAGATGGTTTTGAAGTAAAACATATCTTAAGATTTGCGAAGGTGTGAACCACGCATGTTGCCTCTTAGAACTCAAGTAGGAGGAAGTTGTGGTTTTGGAGGAAAATACTTTTTTTTTCCATTTTAATAAATGAAAGAAGTACTTAACCCTCTGTAAATCTTAAGGCATCTTAAATCCCTTGCTCAAAAATAAGCAAAAGAATGAAATAAAACAAAAACTTACTGTGTACTCAAACCAAGGGAACTCTGGGTGCTTGGGAACCACATGTGGCCCTGGAGCTGCCCTGTTTTAAGACTTAAAACTGTCAACAAAGGACTTGGTTTTTACCCAAAGTAGCAGTTTTTAGATTGAGTTTGTTTGGCTGTCCTGATTAGATCCTGTAATACTTCTGAAGGAGTGCTACCTTTTGACCACAATAACAAGTAAGCATTGGAAAATATATCTGATCTCTTGGGGAAGGCACAGGTGCTACATGTTGTTATTAAAGATTTGGTTCCTTAAGCCAGCCTGTAGCACTTTATAGAATGGAAATGCAGGCTTTTGCCTAATTTCATGCAGTCTCCCCAAGCCAATCTCTTCTGCCTTTTGGCCTTCCATGACACTGGAACCTAGACCCTAGATCCGTGATGGTGAACCTATGGCACGCGTGCCACAGGTGGCACGCAGAGCCATATCTGTGGGCACGCGAGTGTTGCCCTAGCTCAGCTCCAGCACGCATGCGTGCTTCGGCCAGCTGATTTTCGGGCCTTTCGGGCCAACCGGAAGTCGGGAAACAGGCCTCCGCAGGCTCCTAGAAAGCCTCTGGAGCCTGGGGAGGGCAAAAAACAGGCCTACCGGACCCACCATGCCATTGCATGCCAAAACTGGGGGGGAGCACGGAGGGGTCGCACATGCATGCACAGGGGGCGGGGCACATTGAATTATGGTTGTGGGCTTGCGCATACTCGACCCCCCACGCTCCTCCCTGGTTTTGGCATGCAACAGCAAAAAGGTTAGCCATCACTGCCCTAGATCAATTTCTCTGAACAGAATACAATCCTTAAGAATACCAAGCAAAATTCCACCAGGAACGAAAACCTTTCCTCACAGCTGAGTAATATGCATTTGTCCCATCCTTGAGTCGACAGAAAACTATATTGTTGTACTTTGCACTGACCAAGTTTTACTATGCGTCAGCAGTGAGAAACTGTCCTTATGAATTCAATGTGGGGCAGTTTCAAGGGCAGCGATTGGTGGATTTCTCAGGTTCTTTTCCCATTGCACCCATTGTTACTTCTTGGTGGGAAAAGTAGGCACCCGTCTTTCCTCTGGGATGAGGAACACCAGGCACTCCCTCCACCTTCATCCTATATACTGTACCTCCTATACCCCAATGGTCAATCATCATTTTTTTCGCCATAGGATTATTGATTTCCTGAACAAAAACACCCGGCATAACTTTTGGGAGAAATCCGCTATGCAGATTAACTTGGTTGCCTTCTTCTTATTCCCCTTGTAACCCCACTAATTGATCAGCCAGAATCCCCTGCAAGTTTATTAGATCACTATAAAAAGATTGACACCTTAGTCTGGTGTTAAGAACAGCAATAGTTGTTGGGATGGTGCTCATAGTACTTTGCTTAATATTTGGTTCCAAATGATGTGCTCAGTTCTGTTAGTGCTGTTGAGAATTTGGGATCTTTCAGCAAGATGTTTCTCTATGCTTTTTTTTTTTTTTTAATAGAAACTTTATTGAGGTTTTTTACAAACAAAACAGAAATAAAAAAAATAGAAAAAAAGAGGAACAAAACATTCAGACAAAGACATAAAACATATAAATATAATAACATTTTCAGTTACTATCAGATGTACAGTGTTTTAACTATTTACATAAATAATACTTGGTGATATTTCAGCTCACTTTTAATCAATATTTTGCACACCTTTAGGTCTTCCTTTCATTTTATCATGCAACCACTTATACCACCTTTCCCACACCAAATAATAAACTATCTTCTCATCATTTAATTCATAGGTTAATTTAGTCATCTCTGCGCACTCGAGTATTTTCTTAATTGTAAGCTCTTCTGGTGGTTGAGTTTTCTCTTTCCAGTACTGTGCATATGCCAATCTGGCGGCTGTAATTATATGGATCATTAAATGTATCATTTCCTTTCTATATGGCTTCTTTATTATTCCCAGGAGGAAAATCTCTGGTGTTAATTCAATATCTTCATCTATTATTTCATTTAACCACCTCCTAATTTTATTCCAGTATCCTTTCGCTTCCTGGCATGTCCACCACATGTGAAAGAAGGTGCCTTGACCATGGCCACATTTCCAACAGTTGGGGTGTATATTGGGATATATTTTTGCTAGCAAGACCAGGCCAGATGTTTCTCTATGCTTATGCTCCTGTGTATTATTGTTCAAATTTATTTAAATTACTATGTATATATGCAAGTTTGTGTGTGGATAGAAGAAACAAATGTCATAATGAATCTGCATAATGAAAAAAATCCAAGTGATTTTTAGTGCAATCCAGGAAGCAGTTTGATTCATAACATGGTATATGGGCCAGAATAAAACTTCTCATCTTTACTTTTTCCCATTGGAGTATAAAGTACTATATACTTCTTTGTATACATATTTACCTTTTCCCACTATAGTATAAAGTGTTGGAGTTCCCATTTTAGATAGGTTGAATTTCCCAAAGAAATGCTAGGTAGAGTTTATGGGTAACAGCTTGTTCTGGGGGACAACAGATTGTCCATTCTTTCATTTGGTATGGCTTTTAATGGATTGCTTTTGCAAGGATTTTCACTTCTGATATTGGGGGTGGGGAGAGACAGGGAGAGACAGACAGAGAGAGAGAGAAATGACCCATACAATTTTAATTGTTGAATTTAAGACTGCATCAGCAGGCAAAGTTCAGGTCTTGTAAGATTAGCAGTAATAAATGGAAGGGCTCTTGCAGTCTCCTCCGTACATTCTGTTCCCATTTCCAGGCTGACTGTGTAGGCATGTTGAAGAAAAAAAACCTGGAGTATGGAGTACAGTATAAAAGGTAGCTAAGAACAAAATAGTTAGGGACAGGGAGGAGGAACTCAGGAAATTGCTATATCTGAATAAGATCTTTTAATCTTTGAAGCTCAGTTTTATCTATAATGAGTGGTTGTGTTTGTACAGAGGATCAGAGAAGGATTTTTTCAGGTTTACTTGGAGGTGCCAGGAATTCAACTTGGGACTTTCTGTCTGCAAAGATGCCTTTACATGATTTCCATTTAAAGAGAGGAAAAGGAAGATAAGAACATTTCATAAGTATTGAATGGAGAAATACAGGGTCCTAATTAGAGAGGCAGAAGAAGATGGTATTAGAATTGGCCTTATTTGTGGAACTGAGTCTGTCCCATACTTAAGTATTTGTATCTATATTTACCTATAATACTTCATGGACAGTAAGCAGATTCCACACATATACTTACATAAGAAACTGCTTTAAATTATTAGGATGAATGAATGCTATACTGGATATAATGAATATACCCTGCTCAAAAAAATAAAGGGAACACAAGCAGAAGACATCCGAGATCTGAATGAATGAAATAGCCTTTGTGTTCCCTTTAGTTGTTTGAGCAGTATATAAACTACTGTATGTAAAGAACAAAGTATTTAATAAGGCTATTTCATTCATTCAGATCTCGGATGTCTTCTGCTTGTGTTCCCTTTACTTTTTTGAGCAGTATATATTCATTGCATTCAACATAATATAATTCAACATACATACAATTTAATGAATATAATTCATATCTGGTGGGCTTTCAACTTATATCTGAAGGGGAAGAAGGGATGTCCAGAACCACATTCAAGCATACGGTAAGCCCAAAGGCATCAAGTCTTACAAGGAAGCAGGTGATAAGAAGGAAGGAGTGCTCAGAAATACTGTACAATGGGAGATGCATCAGGCAAGCTTAAGAAGGGTGATACTAAATGGCTCAGTTGCTTATTGACAGAGTACGAAGAACAAACCAGAAGAACTTGAAATCCTAGTATGCGTGGAGTGGGGTGGTGGAATATAACATTAGTGGTATGAGTGAAACATGGGGGCGGGTGGGGTGGAACTCATAGTTGAAATACAATACTGGAAGGATATAATTTGTTTTTTTTTAAAAAAAACAACAACCCTAAAACTCATTTGTCTGGGATAGCTTGAGGATTCTTCTCCTCAATGAAGGGTTGGGTTAAAAGACGTCCAAAGTCTTTATAACCACATGATTGTCTTTGTGTGTGTGTTCATGTATATATGTAGCATTCTGGAAACAAGGGAACATGCTGTAGAGATCTTTTTTTAAAATATTTGTTTTCTGCAAAACTAGGAGTAATAGAGAGTTTTACAGTGTACATGCTGTAGCTTCTTACTGCAATTCTGTTAGGAATCTGAAAACCTTGCTCACCATCCCCTTTCAATTTCAAAAATATCCTTGCATATTTCTCATATTCACCAGGAGCTGCGGTGGTGCAGTGGCTAGAATGCATTATTGCAGGCTAATTCTGCTGACTGCCAGGAATTCGATTCTCACCTGCTCAAGGTTGACTCAGCCTTCCATCCTTCCGAGGTCGGTAAAATGAGGACCCAGATTCTTGGGGGCAATATGCTGACTTTGTAAACTGCTTAGAGAGTGCTGTAAGACACTACGAAGTGGTAGATAAGTGTAAGTGCTATTGCTGTTGCTGTTGCTCATATAATTGCAAATGTATATTTAGCTACATGGTAGCTAGAAGGTTAGTTTCCCTACCACTTTTTTTTAAAAAAAACATGGGATAATATGTAATAATGAAATAATCTATGCTCTGAGAATGTCAAACCCAATCCCAAAGATCACAAAATAAAATCCATTGAATCCAATCCTTTATTTGCGTACATCTAATGGACAGAACCTTGCCAGACTACAGCTATAACCTTGTAACCTACTAAATACAGCCTGAAAGATTCAGGGGTGTGGCTATCCTGAATCTCCCCCCCCTCCTCCACAGGGTGGGTTCTACTTACTTTTACCACCAGTTCGCATCTCGCCTGTGTGCTTATGCACATGCACAGATCACCTATGATGACGTCCGGGTCAGTGGGCAGAGCCTCCTGCCGGTTTTACTATCGGTTCTTGCGAACTGATCTGAACTGGGGGCAACCCACCACTGCTCCTCCAGATTGGGACTGCATAGTCTTCTCTCCAATGATATTTGCTGTACACCACCCAGACTCACTCCTGGTATTCCGTGGTCATGCGACCTAGATTAATGATGTTTTTTTGCCAGTTCCTGGCCTTTTCAACTGGTTTCCGGTAAAAAAAGAATGCCCACAGGAATGCATTGATTTACTTAACAACCACCACATTCACTTAATGGCTACAGCATTTGCTTAACAACAGCTCCAAAAACGTCATAAAATCAGGTCTGGTCACATGATTGTCTCGATTTACACCATCATCACTTATAGTGGAAATTCTGGACTCTGTTACAACATACAGTAAGTCAAGGGCTACCTGTATTTATTTGTGTATCATATACAGACAACTGCATAACTTTATGAAATTCTGGGAAGTGTACAACATTAAAAAAGAACCCCAAGAACCACAATAAGAATAATAACTTTATTGTCATTGTATGTATATACACAATATACCCATACAACGAAATTCACTTAACACCCAAAGACCAGGTCCAACACACATAACAATCCCCAAACACACTCCCACCCAGCACAATTCCCCACCCCTAAACCACCCAAACATCCACACAACAGACCAAGTAATACTGTCCAACAGCTCACTGATGGTGGCCCTTTAGTTCATTGTTGAGTGCAATTATAGCTCTGGGATAAAAACTATTCAGAAAACGTGTGGTCCGAGTTTTAATTGTTCTGTATCTTTTGCCAGAAGGCAACAGTCCAAAAAGATTATAAGCAGGATGGGAAGAGTCTCTGAGAATGTTATGCAACTTTCTCAAACAGCGAGATTCGAAGATGTCGCCCAGGGCTGGTAGCTGGAGTCCGATAATATTCTGGGCAGTTTTAATGATTCTCTGTAGAGATTTTTTCTCTTCTACAGAGCTGCTCTCATACCATGCAAGAATGCCGTATGTCAGGACACTCTCAATGGTGCTGCGATAGTAGGACGTAGTAGTAGATGCTGAGATAGATTTATCTTCCTGAGCATTCTCAGGAAGTATAGCCTCTTCTGTAAAACAGAAAGAATTGTGCACCTTTGAGGGAAAAAACCATTCAAACTAACAGGTAACACCAAAGCAGAAGGATTGCCATTCATCCTAACTCAAGATCTGGAGGGAATTTTTTTTTATTTGGAATTTTTTTTTCAGCCTGGTTATGGCAGAGGCCATACAGGTCTTTGAGGAGATACTATTTCTGAGGCACTATGACAGATCGGGTTAAAAGGTCTAAATTCACTCAACTATATAACCTCCAGCTCTGTTAGGTTTCTCTAGGTAGAGAAGATTATGGGGATGGTTGCACAAAGTGAGAACTAATTGATGGTTAGTACTTTTCAGTATGGCATTGAAGAGTCACTGTTGCTGTCTTCACAGGCTTGGCACTGGAACGCTCACCCAATTCCATTGCTTCCCAAGTCCGGCTGTTAGAAAGAGAAGAGGAAGTCATGACTTGCTTTGAAAGGGCATGTGTAATTGCTCAGATTTTCCTGCAAGAAATGGAGAAGGTAAATAAGTGTCAGCTCAAAGGAGCCCCCCTTAGCATTTCCCAAGGATTTGTATCACTGTTTCACTTTTTCTCCATTAAACGAAAGCCAGGAAATGTGCCAAATTATATACTCTGAGACCCTGCCTGATGTTCAGTTTTATTACGTTCTCCCTCCAATGTGCTCAAGATGTTGCTCTCTTTTGCTCATATAATACTTCTCTGAGGTGGTTAAGTCCAAATAGCCCAAGACTTCATGCACACAAGCTGAATGGGAATTTGAATCAGACCCCTGTACGTAATTTTATATTTTAGCATCACATTTTGCCAGCTTTCTCAATATTGAATTTCAGAACACAGGTTTGAAAAATCACTAAAATGCCACAGATAAAAATTTAAGATTCTGAGGAAAAATGCCAGATTTTGAACAATACACGCTACCGTGTTTTCCCGAAAATAAGACCCTGTCTTATATTTTTTTGAACCCTGAAATAAGCGCTTGGCCTTATTGCCATGCACTCAAAAGCCCGATTGGGCTTATTATCAGGGGATCTCTTATTTTGGGGGAAACAGGATATATCAGCTGTACTTTATGCAAAACCAGGTTATATACCTTTACTGTACAGTATTTATCTAAAATGAAGATTATTTTTTTCCCTACAATCAATTTACCTTTAAAATTGGAAGGTCATCTTAGCTCAATTAGAAATCTGATAATGGGTACATACCAAGTTCCTCTTTTGTTTTGTATATTGGGGTCAGGAATTATCTTAAACTCAAGATAATTCAAATTAAATTATTTTACATTTGAGTAAAGAAAAATCTTCAAGTCATATTCAATTCCTGATCCACCAATGGTATTTTCTTGGCAACAATATGGAAGTGGGATTGCCATAATCTTCTAGGATGTTTTAATTCTTGCATTTAGCAGCATCCCATTGAGCTACTAAGTAAGTTTGATCCTCTTTAGCTTTTTTGTGATCAATCAAGATTGATGTGCATCCACAAAAGGGACAATGTGCATCTTTACGTTACCATACAAATACAGTAGCTTCACGTAGAAGATGGGAAGATTTAATTGTAACTGACACAGTCTGACATCATTGCAGATTGCAAATTGCTACAGATGTTATTGTGCTGCCCAGCTGGTAAAGATGGTAATCTAATTACAGACTACTGAATAATCTATTAGGTCTGTTCAGTTGCTTGGATTTGAAGGTGCTTTGGACTGTGCATGGGACTAATGCAATATCCACTGTCAGTGCCTTAAACCAAATGTCTGTAGAGGTTGTCAGTCATCCAGGTCCTGGTTGTCCCAAAGGTGCTTTTTCAGGAGGCGACTGGACTTCCTTGTTTTTTCTTTGAAAACGTTTTGCTTCTCATCCAAGAAGCTTCTTCAGCTCTGACTGGATGCTGGGGAATGGAAGGATTTATATTCTTTGCAGACAGCTGGTCATTTGCATTCTTTTAAATAGTCATTGAGGCCAATTGGGGGTTTATCTGTGTCCTCAGGGTCGCCTGAGTAGTGCTAATGGTTACAGACTACAGGAACAATTTGCACTACTCAGGTGACCCTGAGGACACAGATAAACCTCCAATTGGCCTCAATGACTATTTAAAAGAATGCAAATGACCAGCTGTCTGCAAGGAATATAAATCTCCAAGTGCTTCAACGACCCTCTAACAAGGGTCAAACTGGCGGCCCTTGGGCCTGATGCATCACGTGTAGGCCATGCCCACCCCAGCTCCACGAGGGGAAAAAAAGTCACGGTATGTCACACGACAGCAATGTGACGCCGCGAGTTTGACACCCGTGCTCTAAAAGGAAGCAGATGACCAGCTGTCCACAAGGAATATAAATCCTTCCATTCCCCACCATCCAGTCAGAGCTGAAAAAGCTTCTTGGGTGAGAAGCGAAACATCTTCAAAGAAAAAACAAGAAAGTCCAGTTGCCTTCTGAAAAAAGTACTTTTGGGACTTAAACAAAATCCATCTTTTGTAGTGAGATCACACTATAGCTATGCTGGGAAAAAAATGCAGCAACTTTTAGGAGTTTCCAAGAGGTGCTGTACAAATGCCTCCATGCACTCCAAACCACTTTTTTCCCCTTCAAAACGTTTTTCCCTTCAAGGCACTGCACAGCCCTAATTTCGGGCTCATAGAAGGGGAAGCCTTGATTTGTAATCCATCCAATTTATGGGACCCAGGACTCAGATGCTTGACCACTTTTCTGTTTTTTCAGTTTCAGTTAAAGAATAGAAAGGAGGGAGCTGTTGAGCCTATAGTAGGCTACCACTTGTGGTTTCAGTTGTTCTTTTGTTTATAATTTGCGACTCTTAAATTATGTATATCTGTTTAGTATATTGCCAGAAATACAGAGGGAAATATAAGGCCATCCTTTTGAAACCAGCACAAAAAAATGGCCAAACTATAAAGAAATAACAATTGTAATTAAAAGCAAATTTCAAATTATCTTTACCCCATTCCCTTTCCTTTATATTAGTCATTTTCTCTGATCTTTTGGAAGAATAGAATAAGCATTAAGCAAAATTATTGTTCATATTTACTGTATCTGTAATCTCTCTCTCTCTCTCCCCCCCCCTTCTATTACCAGAGCTTTAATAATACACATACAAGAAGCCTAAAAGGCAGTCATATGTCTTCCTTGGATTTTGAACTTCCTTACTTCCTGGAAGCAGCTCTGCAGAGTGCATATGTGGCTCATTTAAAGAGAGGGTAGGTATATAATAAACATGATTTCACATAAAAAGCTTTGGAGGTTGTTCTGTTCAAAGCTACCAGTAGGTAATACAGGTAGTCCTCTACTTACAACCACAATTGAGCCCAAAATTTCTGTTAAGTGAGAAAATTAGTTAAGTGAGTTTTGCCCCATTTTATGACTTTTCTTGCCACAATTGTTCAGTTAATCACTGCAGTTAATAAGTTAGTAACCCAGTTGTTCTGTGAATCCAGCTTCCCCGTTGACTTTGCTTATCAGAAGGTCGTAAAAGTTGATCACCTGACCTTGGGACACTGTAACTGTCATAAATATGAGTCAGTTGCCAAGCATCTGAATTTTGATCATGTGATGATAGGGATGCTGCAAAGGTCGTAAGTGAAGAACGATCATAAGTCCCTTTTTTCACTACCATTATAACTTTGAATGGTCACTAAACCAACTATTGTAAGTCAAGGACTACCTGTAAAAGATACAAGCAAGAATTGCTTGAAATTGCATGATGTTGTACATTCATATGAAATAAGGAGATGTTGAAGTAAGGTCCTTCACTTGTCCAATTTATGACTGAGTAGCAGGAATGGATTTGCTAGTCTTGCCGAGATGCAGGTAGTCCTCAACTTACAAAAGTTCGTTTAGTGACCGTTCAGAGTTACAACAGCACTGAAAAAAGTGGCATGGCCATTTTTCACAGTTAGACCTTTGCGGCATCCCCATGATCATGTGATCAAAATTCAGGTGCTTGGCAACTTGTTTATATTTATGACCATTGCTGTGTTCCAAGGTCATGCGATGCCCTTTTGTGATCTTCTGGCAAGTGAAGTCAATGGGAAGGGCAGATTCACTTAACAACCGGGTTGCCAACTAATCAACTGCAGTGATTCATTTAACGGTGGCAAGAAAGGTCGTAAAATGGGAGAAAACTCACTTAACTAATGTCTCACTTAACCACAGAAATGTTGGGCGCAATTGTTGTCATAAGTTGAAGACTACCTGTCTTTGTTTTTGGCATTAATGAAAAAGGTGCCTTGGAGGCAAACAGGTTATATATGCATAAAGCACCTTCATCTAATTGCTAATTTTGTTTCAATGGTGGGTTGCTCCTGGTTCTGTCTGGCTCTTTAAAACCAGTAGTAAAAGCGGTGGGAGGCTCCGCCCACCCAGCCGGACGTCATAATTGACGATCTGCACATGCACAGAAGCACGCGCACGCGCTCCCATTGCAAACCGGTAGTAAAGGTAAGTAGAAACCCCCCCCCCCGGTTTGTTTGAATACCCCTAAGTCAACCCTGTGTTCAATTGGCAGAAAGATGTACCACTGGTGTGTTTAAGAGTACAATACAAATCTTCATTTAATCACAAAAAAGGAAATATTAATTGTTAGAAGAGTTACCAGTCTAGGAGTCTAAATTACAAGAAAATTTAATTGTAATTCTCTCCCCACTGTTTTAATAGAGAGGATCAGTGCAGGAGGAAAAAAAATAGATTGGTTTGGATCTCTTTTTTTCTCTCTGCCACAAGAGGGTGCCGACAGATCTCTTCACAAGCCAAGTAAACAAAATGTGGAAAGTGAAGTGGGTCACTTGATGTTCTTGTTAGATGAGTGATTTCTAAATGTGGTATGATTAGAGAAATGATTTTGTTTCTTAAGTTAAGAGTGGAAGTATGTAGAGTTCTCCTAAGTACAACAAATCCTTACAGGCTATGATGTGATTTCAGGGAATACAATTTTCTGGTATGTGAATTATGCGCCTGTGTGCATCTGTTTTCTTTCAGAGAGGCACTTCAAATTTGTTGACATCTCAAGTGCACATTTCTTGGTGTAAAATAAAATATTAACTGGTTTTCAGATTGAAGCAGGAGGAACTTCCATAGAAAGGTCATGGATTCTAGAGGTCTGCTGTGAAGTTTGCAGCATTCTTATAAAAGGATAACCAGCTTCTGCTTAAATACATTCAGTGAAATAGAGGTTACCAAAGCAGCACAATATACAGCTCTTAGTATTTGGAGGTTTGTCTTCTCTATATAGATAAAATCTGCATAAGATAGGCTGTAGGTCATGGGGGAAAGTGGATTTACTGTCAACAAAAATAATTTACAACATACCCTAAATTCAGGGAAAGAGATGTACAGATTCTCTGAACAAGGAATGGATAGCTAATCTAAGAATAGAAATTGGAAACTGTGGCACAGTTTTTTTCATTATTCCGTAGTAGTAAATAGAGATACATGTTAGGCTAAGAATTAAACTAGGTTTAATATAAATTTTTAAGTGTCTCCAAATTAAGCTGGAGGGAAAAAACTGGTTCCACTAGTATGTTCTACCTTAGTGCAAGAGCTGAACATAAAGTAACATCCTTTATCTGCCATGTTTTATCCTCAGCATTATCCTGTGCAATAAGTTAGGGTGACATATGAACCCACAGCACTAGACCTCTGTCTGACCACTCTTCTAGCCAGGCACAATGGGAGAAGGCACTGCCTTCTGACAAACCTTAGGTATGAAGTGTAAGTTCTTATCAGTCACCATCTGGGAAAGTATTCTTTGAAGATTTGCTGACTTGCCCTATTACTATAACCAGTGGTGGGTTTCAAAATTTTTTACTACCGGTTCTGTGGATGTGGCTTCATGGGTGTGGCATGGTTTCATGGGCATGGCTTGGTGGGTATGGCAGGGGAAGGATACTGTAAAATCTCCATTCCCACCCCACTCCAGGGGAAGGTTACTGCATAATCCCCATTTCCTCCCAATCAGCTGGGACTCGGGAGGCAGAGAATAGATGGGGGTGGGGCCAGTCAGAATTTTTACTACTGGTTTTCCGAACTACTCAAAATTTCCCCTACCGGTTCTCCAGAACTGGTCAGAACCTGCCAAAACCCACTTCTGACTATAACCCAACCTGAGCATAAATGTGCATATGTATGTTTGCATATCAGAGGTGGGTTTCAGCAGGTTCTGACCAGTTCTGGAGAACCGGTAGCGGAAATTTTGAGTAATTCGGAGAACCGGTAAATACCACCTCTGACTGGCCCCATCCCAGGAGTGAAATCTAAAATTTCTTACTACCGGTTCTGTGGGCATGGCTTGGTGGTGGGGGAATGTGGGCATGGCCTTTTTTAAAAAAAACTTTTAAAACCATTTTTTCTACAACCTCTTTGGCTAAGAGGTTGTTAAAAAATGCTTTCAAAAGGCTCTGATGATCCAAGCTGAGTTCCCTGATCAGGGAACTCAGCTTGGATCATCAGAGCATTTAAAAAATCCTTTTTTTCTTTTAAATGCTCTGACGATCCAAGCTGAGTACCCTGAAAGCCTCTCCGATCAGGGAACTCAGCTTGGATCATCAGAGCATTTAAAAGAAAAAAAAACCTTTTTTTCTTTTAAATGCCTGATGAGCCACGCGATCATCAGAGGCTTTTTTTTTTTTTACTTTTAAAAGCATTTTTTTGGCCGAAGTTGTAGAAAAAATGCTTTTAAAAGTAAAAAAAAAAGCCTCTGATGATCGCATGGCTCAGCTGGGCATGGGGGGGGACGGGGATTTTTGCTACCGGTTCTCTGAACCACCCGCCTCCATCGCTACCGGATCGGTAATCCGGTCCGAACCGGGAGCAATTCACCGCTGCCCCATCCCCATCTATTCTCTGCCTCCCAAGTCCCAGCTGATTGGGAGGAAATGGGGATTTTGCAGTAACCTTCCCCTGGAGTGGGAAGGGAATGGAGATTTTACAGTATCCTTCCCCTGCCATGCCACCAAGCCACGCCCACCAAGCCATGCCACGCCCACAACCGGTAGTAAACATTTTTTGAAACCTATCACTTAATGCATATATGTATGGATGTACATATATTTAATGCAACAGAGATTCTTCTGTTGTTCATAATTCATGGACAATTCAGCCTTGCTTTTCACACTTGATTTTTTTTTTCTCCCTTTAGCAATATTATTCAAGGAATAAGAAATCTAAGAGAATTGTTAAGGACCATGGAAACAAAGGCTACTCTGAGCTTCAGAATGGTAAATTCAATCCCTGGATTCCACATTAACTCTCTTGGCAGGAGCCTGTAAACTAACCTCCCTACCTCCCTTTCTTCCTTTCTTCTTGGCACATAAGCTTGGTGTTGCAATTCTGAGTTAACTAACTGATTAATATGGTCAAATGGAATTTAACATACTTAACTTTGATGTTTTTTTCTACTACACAAGATTATTATAAAATCTAGATGGGAGAAAATTATGTAATTAGGCATCTCTGCCTAATGTAAACTTTAAAAAAAAATTGTCTTGCCACAATATGAGCCTTCCTTACGTTTCTGTAAAAGCAGCATACTGAGAGAGATGAAAGGAAGAACTGGAAAGGAAGAGGTTCGAAAGTTGCATTTGAACATATTGGATCAGAGGTTTGGAATTTGAGTTGACAATGGATCAACTTTTATTTTAGAGAGTTTCAGGATCCTTTTTTTCCTCCAAGAGCTATTTCAGTCAGCTTTGGTGTGTTTCTGGGAACATTTTTAGCAACAGCAACAGCAACTACAAATGTCAGGAATGGCAAGAAATATAGTCCCATCGTTCTAGCAACTGATGGTATGCTGAATGCCAGTTTTAGCATCCAAAGATGCTGCACTCACATCCAGATTGCTGCATAGTATGACCATTTATAACCATTTGCATGTCAAAATATTAATGTAAATTTTTTGCAGTATCAAAAGAATGAAGCATGGATCCTGCGTTCAGTCTGTTTCAAAACATGATGGCACCGTAAAAAAAGACTTACTTACTCTGAAACGAAAAACTATTCTATTTCAGATTAACAATCATATAAACTTGATTTTTCTTAGACCAGGGGAAAGTATTTTGCCTTTTTTTCCTCTGTTGATTAATGCAGTTACTGAAAATTGTTTATGTATGTAAGTTTGAAAAATGCCCAATACTACTACTGTAGCTTATGAGTGATTTTCAAGGGCAGTTCCATGTATGCCTCATTGGTCCATTCTTTTATGGGGGTGGGAGCAGGGGTGAAATGCTCCCAGTTCGGACCGGATTGCCTGATCCGGTAGCGATGGAGGCGGGTGGTTCGGAGAACCGGTAGCAAAAATCCCAGCCCCCCCCCATGCCCAGCTGAACCGCACAATCATCAGAGGCTTTTTTTTTTACTTTTAAAAGCATTTTTTCTACAACCTCTTCGGCCGAAAAAATGCTTTTAAAAGTAAAAAAAAAAGCCTCTGATGATTGTGTGGCTCAGCTGGGATCATCAAAGGCTTTTAAAAGAAAAAAACCTTTTTTTTCTTTTAAATGCCTCTGACGATCCAAGTTGAATTGCCTGATCGGCAGAGACTTTTTTTCTTTTAAATGCCTCTAACAATCAGGCAACTCACTTGGATCGTCAGAGGCATTTAAAAGAAAAAAAAGTCTCTGCCGATCAGGCAACTCAGCTGGGATCGTCAGAGCCTTTTGAAAGCATTTTTTACAACCTCTTTGCTGAAGAGATTGTAGAAAAAATGGTTTTAAAAGTTAAAAAAAAAAACTGGCCATGCCCACCCAGTCACATTACCCCTTCCCCCATCAAGCCACGCCCACAGAACCAGTAGTAACAAATTTTAGATTTTACCACTGTGTGGGAGGTGGGGGGAGAAGAGAAGTGCAGAGTGATAGAAAAACTTAAGTACAAATATGCTATGTAAAAGATGAAAAATTCATTATTTTACTATCTCTTCATAGGGAAATTCTGTATGGAGCAAATTTGTCGGTGATTCTTGTTTTCCCTTTGATCCAGAGAGTTCTGAGGAGCTGATGGCTCTTCTTGTTGCTGTGGTTAATTGGCTTTGCTAAAGTGGAGCCATCTTCAGTCCTCCATTGCTTCCCTGGAAGTCTACAATAGTCCATTCTTGGGGTGTTTAGGGAATGACCCACCTAATAAAGGAACAGGTGCAAATGTCACACTAGATATATCTGTGAAAAATCCCTCTTGGCCATAGCTGCTACCTACTCTTCAAGCAGAAGATCTGAGTCCCAGATGACTCCAGATTGTGCAACAATCTTGATTGGAATAATGCAGCTCCATCCAAGATTAACAATGGGGGCTCTTGAGACCAGAAATATTCATAGCTACTTGGTCTTTTCAGGATTGAGTCTAAGTTTATTTCTCCTCATCCAGGCCTGCAAAGCCTCCAGACACTGGGACACAGCATCAGCATCTCTTGCAAGCTATGTAATTGGGTATCATCTGCATAATGATAACATTGGACTCTGAACCAATGGATGACTTCACCCAGTAATTTCATGTAAAACTTGAGCAGGCGGAGAGAAAGTGTCAAGCTCTGTGGCACCCCACCAGCAAGGGGCCATATATTTGATTTCTTCTCCTCCATCCATGCAGATTGGCCTCAGTGAAAGGAGAACCAGAACAACACCACAATGTGGTGTCTCTCCCTCTCAGTCCCTTCATTATGTAGAGAAGAATATCGTGGGTAGTGATATTGAATTCTATTTCTTACAGAGTTCTCTGGAGCTCTTTATCATGTCATCTTCTCAACAATCTTTCCTAAAAAGAGAAAAATTGTCCAGGATGATTAGGTCCAGTGATGGCTTCTTGAGGGGACAGAATATCACTCCTTCAGAGCTGAAAGGCCACCCTGTTTCTTAAAAAAGAAAGCTTTAAGACAAGCATGGGTTCTTTTTGTGACATGACTGTCACTGCCCCTCCCCTCATAATATAAACTCTAATACCATGCTTGCAATAATGGGCTTAACCTGGATTAAAAAAAATAAAAACCCAAATCTTGTGCATCCTCCAGACTTCAAGAAACTATTGTTCTTGCCCCAATGTTTGTAAATAATAATGATTATTGCAAACATGGTATTTCCCAACCTGTTCTTCAAAAGGGCTTCAGCTCCCTTAAGAGGTATTCCTAGAATTCTGAGCACTTTCCACACTGGGGGATGGAAGGCTGAATATCTGGGAGCATGCAAGTTGGAGCTGTGCTATCATGTCCAAGAATGCTGTGTGGTGCCATACTTCCACCCACATTGTGGCCTGTGCAGCCCCCAGTCACAACCAGGTTGCTCATTCTTGGATTTTTTTTAATTATGTCATAGTACTGTAACTAGGACAGTGATCCCTCACACTAATGGAATAATGTTAAATGGCAAATGGACCAAGTACAGCACATTCACACACAAGAAATCTGGGTCACACCCATTCAAAGAGCATCAGCTGATGGCATTTGAGGGCCATCTTGTGACTGAAATCCACTGACTACCACTTGGTAGTTTGGTGAGCATAAAATGTGCTGTAGCTGGAAGGTTCAGGATTATAGCTGGAGGCAACGGAATCAAAATGATTCTCCAGTTTTATGAATGAGATAATCAAGGAACCAATGGAACTTATAGATGCAGTGAGAAAAATAGTAGAGGCAATCAGAGGATTAAGTCCTAATTATTGTTAATAATCACAGCTTAACATTTATATGTACCCTTTATTGTGCTTAATAAAAAATGAAAGCCAAAAAATCTAATATCTTCTCCTGGACTAAGCTGGAGGGGAAAAGCACACAATGCTGAGTTGCATTGTGACATTTTAATATAATCACCTTTACCATAATATATTAACAGTATCATTATTTCTGATTTTTAATATGTCCTGGAAGGATAAAGTCTTGGATTCTTGCATTGTGCTACCATTAATTTTAATAATTTGTTTTAATATTATGGACATAAAAATTTTGAGGTAGAATTAACCTGTTAATTAATTTGGAATGTTGAATGGTAGTGTGTAAATTTTACTTGTGGCCAGAAAATGTATTCTAAGTAGAAAAATGCTTCTTTGCTTTGCCAGAAGCTAATATAAATAAAATATAGAGTTACTTTTTGCCTGGTGTTATTCATAACAAAAGTGAAACAAACTAATATCACTGTTGAATTGTGCAATAAAGAAAACACCCACTGAGAGAACAGGAAGTAGATGTTTTTAGAGGAAAGTTCAATTTTCAAACAACATTTACCATCACTGTCTGTACTGAAGTGCCATAAAAGCCTAAATACAAACATATAAGGTACGCATGCTAACACCCACAAATACATTTAGTGAGGAGCAGAAATTATTGTGTTGGCCTCTTTAGAGCTCCCTCCCACTTACAATTGTTTATTCCTTCTTGTGCAACTCAATGGATACCATGTTTTATACCGCTCATAGCATAAGGAAATCTGTCCTTTTTAAGAGTTTTTAAGAACGTATTTTTCAGTTTCTTTCCATTCTTCACCAGACAGCTACCAAACAACTGGCAGAGCTTCTCCTTCACTCCCTAAGTGAAGATTGTTACTGGAGTCCCTTATCTGACCCACTTCCTGAGTTCATGAAGAAAGAGGACAATGCTTATATTTGTACCACCTTACGCCGAAGACTACAGCTACACGCTGGAGATAAGTACGGACCTAGGAGCTTACAGAATTTTTAAAACATTTTAACTACTGAAGAGGGAGAGAGCTATTAATTAGAAATAATAGCCAGGTCTTCTGTTAGAGGTCTCTGGTAATAGTTTTAGCAAAAAAAAAAAAAAAAAGCTAAACTCTCTATCTGGAGTTTTAAATCAATTTAATACCTACTCTTTCTATGCACTTCAGTGCATAGAACAAATACTAAGTAAAACACCCTATGTGAAATATATCACTACACAGAATAACACCAGAAATTAAAATAACAATAAAAATTAATTTTTAAAGGCTTTTAAAATTCCTTTACGTTAATAGATCAATTGAACAGAGAAAGGCAAATGGAAGTTTGCCAGTGTCACTGAGTAGAGGATCTCCTAAAATGAATGACTCAGTCATATTAATAGAGATAATGCCACACATATGTTGCTGGAAATATGAGGGGGCCAAATCAGACAAGGTCCTGGAATTCATCAGTCAACCAGCTCTTTCTGAAGGATCATCCCTCAATTGCAAGGTTCATGTGCAGGCAATCTGGCCCCCAAATGCTTCAGATTCAATACAGTCAGAACACCCAGGAGCTAAATTCTTTCATGAATAAAGAGTTTTTGACCAATCATTTGCTCTCCCTCGTCACAGATGAGTTATCACCTCTATAGCTTTTAGTCATTCCAGTCTGAAGAAACGATTATATAACGAATTAATCATGCATGAGATGTTTCACATTACTAATCCTGTGGTGCTATTAACAAGAGTCTCCCATGAGCATAATTCTTATTGTTGCTTATATTTTGAAAAAGCCTGTTTGTCTTTCAGCATCTATAGCCCCCATGACAACGTTGAAGAAGCTCTCCTCCTCCTCCTGATCAGCGAATCCATGGTAAGCAAAATAAAAATAGCTATAATAATCACCATTATGCTTTTATGAAGGGAATTCCAGGTGTCTTTTCTAAGCTATAAATTCAATTCATGTCCACAAAAGCATACCTATGGATTGAACATAAAACAATCACTTCCGATACAGACGAATTGGCTGTTGTTGTTTTTTTAAAGCATCACTGAATGGTGCCCAATTTTAAATAAGTATTGAATGAATTGCCTGAAAAATGTAATAGAAAATGTGTTTCAATCTGGTGAATCTTTCTTAGTGTCACAGGGGGACAATTTTTTTCCATCCCGATCCAAAATAGGCTTAATGAGAAAGCAGTCTTTTGTTTGTTTGTTTAAAAAAATTCTGAACCCATTTTCTTGCTCTTGATGGATTTATGGTGATACATCTCTGGAGAAGGAAGACAGACTTTGTAATGCTTTTCTAAGAATTAAATAAGCAAAATAAACAGCAGGAGATTATACTACAGAACTGGCTTTATGGTGACTGTACAGAAAATTCCCAAGAGTTCATTCCCAAGACTAAAATCCTAAACAGTTACATGAGAATTTGTTTCATTTTAGTTGGAAGCTGAAGAAACTGAGGTGATGCTTTAGGCAGCTGACTGCAGGTGTTGTGAAAAGCTAGCTACTTGTTAGTCATTTATAATGCAATCCTAAAATTTATTCAGAGCACTTCCAACAATTCAGCAGTTTAATACTTCTAGTGCCCTGTTTGTTGTAGCCTGGCAGCTTAGAATTGAGAACTGAGAGGTGCTTTTTGCCTTTCCTATTCAAATAAATAAAAATATTCCATTGTGTCCAATATAAGTGGTTGTGAGTAGGCCCATTCTGAGCTGCAGCTCTTGGATCTTGCCTTAGCTTGATGTGTTTGGAAGCCATTTATAGTAGCAGAGAGAAGGACAATGGCTTGTGTATACCAGTATCAAAATGACTGGCCTTGAATGCAAGGGGGGACTGCAGTTTGCTGTTTGGATATTTTTAGGCAAGTATCATACTGTATTTATTTTGTATTATATAATAGCAATAGTACTTTACAGTGCTTTACAGCCCTCTCTAGGTGGTTTACAGAGTCAGCGTATTGCCCCCAACAATTTGGGTCCTCATTTTACCCACTTCGGAAGGATGAGTCAACCTTGAGCCTGGTGAGATTTGAACTGCCAAATTGTAGGCAGCCGGCAGTCAGCAGTCAGCAGAAATAGCCTGCAGTACTGCACTCTAACCACTGCATCACCACGGCTCATAATGTTATATTACGAATGAATACAATTGTATATATGCATATCATAATGTACGATACATTACAGTGTACTGTGTAATGCTTGTATTAGAGCAGTTTTATATGTTTCTGAAATATATGCAAATGTGAATTATTCAGACTTACTTGGGAGCAATTGTTTTGGGCAGGTTCATCTTCAGACAACTGAGAATCAAATAGATGGAACTGACATATTTTTCTTTGATTAAAAGCACTTTTATGGTGGTTGAATGGGATGATGGAATCAAGGGTACATCATGACTGGAAGGTGGCTTTCCTGGGAGGTCATCTATTAAACTTAAATCACACCATTTTTACATTTCCTCCCAACTATAGAGGGAAGATGAGAACAGGGATGTCCTCAGGGTATGTGTCAGTGTATTGATTAATACATACCAGTATATACATTGATTGATGTAAAATCAGTCAGAGATTTGATTGCAACCATCATAGTTGCTACCTTGATATTTTTAGTACACCCTGCAGACACTGCTGGATTGGGCTAAAAGTTTCTTAACCTTTAGTTGATTTTAAAACTCTGTACCTCCACGAAAGTAAAAGAATGGGACATAAATCTGGCCAACCTTCTGATCAAAGGCTGTAGAAGAATTAGTTTCTTTAAAGACTGAGGAATTGCCTCATTGCTCATAAAAACTTTGGACTTTTGGCTGCAAGACATTGTGTTTCCAGTTATGTTGTGGGCCAAGGCAAATACAAGATTTATGTTTGTAGATTCAAAAGAATGAATGTATTGTGCCTACTATTTTTGATTTCACTTTATCTTTTGTATTGTCTTCCAATCTAAATTTTATTTTGCCCACATTGAATTTTTTGAAAAGAACCAGTGCTTTTAGTAAAACAGCAGGATTCCTGAAATGCTAATAGTATAGATCAACTGGGTACCATTACCTACAACAGCTGTGTTAATGAACACAGCCTTTGCAAAATGTGGTTTAAGGGAATTTCTGAGGCTTGCAAGCTTAATTGCTCATGAGAGTTACAATCCAATTACTTTGAGGCAAAATAATTGTTTACATGTTCATATAGTGTGAATAGATATACCATGATGTATTTCATATTTCTTTTGCAATCTATGATAGCTGTATATTTACATGTACTGTTAAAAGGCCACATTAACACACTTTTCTCACATTCTTGAGTCAGGAGTTATTTCTACATAAACTGTGCTGTCCCCATAACCCATCATTATCACATCTCAGCGAAGAAATCAGGCAATGTTGCTACCCACATATAGTCTAATATGGAATACTTTCAGAGTGGGGTCTGATGGGTTCTAGACTCAATGTCATGTATCAGTTGGAAAACTAACCACCACCAATTGCTTTCCTGAACATTAGTGTCAAGCATCTTGCAATCAAAAAGACATGTTTCTCACATATTTAGAGTAGACAATTTTATTACAGTGAGAAAGGAATTAGGTTATAGAATCTTGGAGACTTGATATGTATAACTTGGCCATTTATTGAATCAGGTTTCACCTAATCTGTACTTGTACCTTTGTTTTTTCCTGCCTAGGTGTAAGCCCTTGTTTTTCTCCACATTAAATTTCATGTTGTTGGATAGGGCCCATTGTTCAAGTCTGTCAAGATCTTTTTGGATCCTGAGTTTGTCTTCTGGATTGTATCATTTCAAATCAGATTTCTTCCAGCAGCTATGAATCTTTCCTCTTTTTTATTATTTTAAAACTTACTATTTATTATTATTTTATTTTTATGGCCTTTTCTGGTTTTATACCTGTCTATTTTCTTTCTTCTCCCATTTGGGCCTTTTCCTGAAAAGGGATCCTTGCCTTTCCTAACCAGTTGTTCATTATTAAAAACAACCTCACCTTCCTGAATCTTTTTCAAAGTGTGACAGGTAGAATTTGATTTTTTGTATTTTATGTTTGATATGTTGGTTTTATGTTTTTACTTGAAAGACAACTTTTGGATGCTTTCAGGGTCTCCTCCATCACAATGCATCTTCCCCTGAAGACTTTCTCTTTCCTTCTACCTCAGAAATGAGGACCAACTGACCACATCATCACAAAGACTGGCCCTGCCGATCTCTAGAGCTGAAATAATTTTGTTCTTCTGATCAGCCTTGATGCCTTCCAACCTTGGTGGACATCAGTTTCTGTGTGGACTGTGCTGCTAAGGTTAATAAAATTGTGATTCATCACATACGCAGAAAACCCCCCCAAACTAGAAATGGTAGACTTTTAAAGCCTTGATCTTAATCTCTTGATTTCCTGGAAGATCTGCATTCAGTCTACCATGACTTTGATAGTCCTATCAAAAAGAGAAATATGCTGCAAAAACAAGGTCTTTCTCACAGCCAAAGCCAAAACGGCCATAGAAGTTCAGTGCCTAGTGATTGGTCATGGAAGGGATATTCCCCCAGTGGACTTAATAGGGTAATTGGAGATGAGCAGCAGCATCCCCAATGCATCCTTAAGGTGCCCTATATTGTCCACATGGGAGATCTGAGTCAGGACACCACTCCAAACCAGAACAGCTAAAGATAACCTGAAGCTGTTTCAGTGGAAGGGTGATGATGAGTAGAAGGTAATGTCCCTCAAAAATAGCCTGTATAGTGTTTGTACGATTGGAAGCAGGTTGTGAGAATGAGCCTTAAATATAGTTCAACAGAATTAGTCAACACCTTTGGCTGGTTAGTCTTGCAAAAAAAAATTATATGAGATTATGAAGATGCTTTACTATGGGAAATCTTATTTTTAATATTTATTTATTTTAAGGACATGAGTCACAACTTTTTCGTTTCCAAACATCCAATTGTGTAAAATCTTTCTTTTGTTTTCACACTGCCGATTTTAAGGCCTTGAATAAATCAAATGTATTTAGCTGCATGCATAAATATGCAGTGCCTCATGCTTACAGAATGCATGGTGAAACCAAGTCCTTGGTGCAAATAAAAAAGCTGTCCTCAAAAAACACTCCAAGCCTGTTTTAATTGTATACACCCTCCAGAGACTTTTGCAGTTAGTTCCAGATGCTGCTTAATATTAGCAGGAATTAGAAATGGAGTTAGAAAAGGAACATTTTCCCCATCAACACTTTCTTCTCTTTCTCCCGCTCTCACCACCTCCACAAAATCCGCAATCATTTTGCAATGTTTCAATTTACATATAGAAAATCATTTTTTCTTCTTTGGTACCTTCAAGTACAATTCATATAACTGTTATGGGCCACGTTCGTGGCATTGATTTTCACTTTACTGGTTAGCTAATGTGTTCCTTTCAATTTAATATTTCCCTGACCTGCTGCACACTAGCACAAGGGATCACAAGGTTACTAAGATAAGAATGGCTGCCGCCTCTCTTCTTATTTGAAACAAGCAGTCTCTGGCTAATTCTAATGAATATTGTGTCGAATGTAAGAAGAGCTTGAAATAATTCATACAAAGTATCATGGACACCTGGCATTTGATCTTGGAAAAACTGTTCTTATTTATTATTTACTTATTCAATTTAACCCCTTCTATTCAAAAGGCATATTTTCTGGCTCAGTTAAATAGGATTCTTATAATTAATGGGTGATTTATGTCAGAGAAAAAGAGAGACAAATTGAGATCTCTGGTACATAGGAATTTACAGATAAGACTCAACAGTATTGTTTATTCCAGCAGTAAGTAATTACTAGATTCCAGAAGCTGTTGGACCCCAATTCCCATCAGCCCCATCTGACAGCTTACATTTGAAGGACTGCTAATTC